CGTCTCCGCGCCCGTCCCCGCGCCCAGCGCCGCGCGCGCGTCGGCGAACGCGTGGTCTTCGCTTCAGAGGTGGTTCAGCGCCGGCGGAGACGGCGCGGGAGGCGGCGCGCGCGCGGGGGCTCGCCGCGACGCCGTGAATTTGAGCAACGACGAAAATTTTCTCGCGTTGCTGCGCGAAGCGACCGACCGCGACGATAACTACGCGCGGACGGAGGCGCAGGTCATGCGGGCGGAGGCGGAGGCGGCGGTGCAGCTTATCACGCAGGCGCAGGCGCAGGCGGACGCGGACGCGGGCGAGCTCGCGATCCAAGGCGAACGGATCGCGTCGCCGCTCCCGGAGATGCCGTCGACGCGTTCGTTCGACGCGGCGGACGTAGCGGCGGTCCGGGCGATATTCGCGGCCGGGGACGCCTCGCCTCGGCGCGGAGTCCGCCGCCGCGGCTCGACGCGCGACGATGACGACGACGCGACGACGATAACGGACGACGACGACGAGCCGACCGACGACGACGACGACCCCGCGCCGGATATCGTCGACACGGACACGTCCATGTCCCTCGAGTACGTCAATTTTATCGAGCCCCACCCCGAGGATGAAACCCCCTCGGAATTTCAAACCCCCGCGGAGGCGATAGAGGCGGCAACCCGGAGGGCGCGCGCGATGGCGGCGGCGGGGCTCGACCCGGTTTACAATGCGATGAGGGGCCTCCGACCGCCGACGGCGCCGCGCGCGGCCACCAGGTTCGCGAACGCGCTGCCGCCGTCTCCGCGGGGAGGACCCGGCGCCGGCGCCGGCGCCGGCGCCGGTCGCGCGCGGCCGCACGGCAGCGCGAACGAGTGGGACGCGCAGCTCAACGAGCTCTTCGGCGTCGGCGGCGCGGAGGAGACGCGTCAGCTCGAGCTCGACGCCGTCTTCGAGCTGACGACGCGACGAGGCGGCGGCGGGCGCGGCGGCGGGCGCGGCGGCGGGCGCGGCGGCGGCGGGCGCGGGCGCGGGCGCGGGTCGACGACCGCTCCCGCGCCGCCACGGCGACCGCCGTCCAGGCGAGGCGGCTCCGCGGCCGCGGCGAGGCCGGAGCCGCTTTCTCCCTCTCCGGAGGAACCGCGCGAGACGCGGTTCGACGCGGAGATCGCCCGGCTCGGCGTCTCCTCCGAGTCTCTCGAGGCCATCATGCGCGTCCGCGCGTCGTCCATCCCGACGCGGACAACTTCCGTGGAGGAGCACGCCGCGGTCGCGTCGTCCGTCGCGCGGCGGACGTCCGTGCAGGTCCTCGCGCGGCTCGTGAAGTACGAGCTCTTCCGGCGCGTGCCCCCGGGAGGGCTTCCCGCGACGCCTTTGCCGGCGCCGCCGCGCCCGGTCGACCCCGGCGTCGCCGCCGCCGCGGACGCGGACGCGGACGCGGACGCGTCCCGACCCCCGCGATCGTCGCCGCCGTCGTTCAACGCGTTCGCGATGCACACCGCGCCGTTCGTGCCCACGACGAGCGCGATCGGCGCGAAGATGCTCCCGATGAACGACGCGGATCCGACCCCGGTGCTGGACGCGCTCGAGCCGTACGTCCGCGCCGACGGCCGCGCCGCCGTCCTCCTCGCGTGCGGCTGCGAGCTCTTCGCCGTGCGCGACGCGCTGCGGACGTGCCCGTTCGAAGTCTGCGCCGGCGTCTACACCGCGTCCGCGGCGCGCGCGCTCGCGTTGATCGCGCACGCGTGGCACGCGCACGGCGTGCCGACGGCGCACGCCGCGGACGGGTGGCGCGCGGTCACGAAGCTCATGGAGACGTTGAAGGACACGTGCTGTGAGGATAGCGTCCGACTGACGTCGCCGGGTCTGCCCCGTCGCGGTCGGGGCGGCGTCGACGGCGGCGACGCCGGGTTGTCAACCGCGGTGTGCGGGCTGCGCGCGGGGCTCGCGGGGCCGTGGGCGCGGCGCCTCGGGGAGGCGTTGCCGGCGTTGACGCGAAAACTGATCGAGTCGGGGGCGCCGCAGCCCGCGGTGAACAAGTTCGCGTACAACGCGACGTTGCTCGCTTGGGTGGTCGCTTCGGATCAAACGCCGAAAGCGTCTCCGAACTGCGTCGGCATCTCGAATTTCACGTACTATCCCCCGATACACGCGATGCGAGCCAATCCGAGGGAAGAGGCGACCCTGGGGGAGTCGCCGTACGGGGACGCGGAGTACGACTACGGCTTCACGACCTCGCCGCCGCGGAGCGAGACCTCGGGCGAAGCGTTATCTAAGCGAGACGAATTTTTCCTCCAAGAAGGGTTGCTCGCGCCGCCGGCTGCGCTCGGGCTCCGCGCGTCCTCGATCAAAGAGATGCACGAGGTCCTGAAAGACGTGACCGTGTGGGCGAGGGACTGCGTCTGCGCGCGGCTCACGAAGCCGTCGGACCCAGTCAATATATGGAATAAAGAGTTGTTCACCGCCCTCGCGGCCGCACAAGATTTCGTAAAGATGTTCGAGCAAGAAGCGATGCGATCACGGAGCGTCGCGACTCTGGTGTGCGTCACCATGTTGCTGAAGCAGGTGAACGAAAGGCGCGGGAAAGAGCGCGCGCGTCTCCTCGGAGGTCGTTTGAAAGATTGCGACCCGGAGTCGGAGTTGCACGATTACGACGACAGGTTGCGCGACGGGGTCCGGTTCGAAGTCTTGCGGACGCTAGAGTCGCACGACGCGATCTTCGTCCCCGGCCGACGCGCGGGAGAACTTCCGACGTTCGGGCTGTGGGAGACGCCGGGCACGACGGAGGACGCTACCCAACCGATAAAGATCGCGACGTCGTTTCCGACGATCAGGTACGGGGATAGTGACCGTCCGACCGCGCGCATCATCGACGTCAACCCGACGGTCTCCGTATGGTCAATCGTCGAGGAGTATGGATCGAACGGGGATTCGGCGTACCACTTGTACGCGCGCGCGTCCCCGGTGGCGGCGGCGATGCATCACGTCCTCAACGCGATCGCCGCCGCGGTCGAACACATCAAAACCGCGGCGTGGATATCCACGGGGTCGTCGAGCTACGGCGACGCCGCCGCCCACGACGCGGTGAGGACCGCGCTCACCGCGGGCGGCGCGTCGTCGTCGTCGTCGCCGCTTCGATCGCTCATCGTCGCGTTCGGGGTGATCCACGCCGCGGCGGTGGCGCTTCGAGTCGCCGCGCCGCCGGTGGACGTCCCGGAGGACGTCGTCTCGCCGTACCCCGCGAAGGAGGTGCGTTCTATACACTGGTCCCCATACGACCGCGTTGGCGTGGTGAACGCCGATCCTTAAGGACTTTGCCCGGCGGTTCTCTTTGCCCACCCCACTGTTTCAATCCCCGCCCTCGACGCCTTTCAACTCCAGCTGACGCCTTTCAACTCCACCCCGACGTTCGCTCGTATGGAACGACCCGGAGGCGCACGTGAGGACGTTTCCGCCGCTCGGCGTGGAGATTCCGGCGCTGATCACGATCCACAGGGACGCGATTCTCGCCGTCGTCGAGGCGGACGAGCGCGCGGTGGGCCCCGGCAGGGTGTTACACTTTCTGAACGACTACCCCGGGATGGTGTCCTTCTGGACGAAGTTTCGTCGGCTGACGCGCGAGATTCGAGCGTCCACGCGCGGGACCGCGTTGTCCATCTTCGGGAACGCGCGCGACGTGACCATCTCGCGGACGGACCCGGTCGGGGACTTTTACGACGCCGTCGCCGCCATCGTCGCGGAAGCGACGGCGCGGAGCGCGGGGTTCGTCCGGGGCTTTCGCGGACCCCCGCGCCGCGGGTGGCTCCGCGCGGGCATTGATCTGTCCCAACCCGTCGAGGACGAGAGCGACGAGGAAGTCGACGCCGACGCCGGAGGCGTCGGCGCGCCCGGCTGGATCCGCGTCGGGCGTCGGGCGCGTTTTCCTCACATCCCCGGCACCCTCATGTCACCAGACCAAGCTCTGGATGCGGCCGACCGAGAAATTGCCGCCGAGGTTGCGGCCCGCGCGCCCGTCCATCCGTCGTTTCTCCCCGGGGTGGGGTTCCCCGGCTCCGCGGGCGCGAACAGTCCCGGCGGCGTCGCGCCCTCGGTCGGGCTCGAAGCGAGACTCGAGGCGCTGAGCGCGGGGGGCGGGGGCGGCGGGGGCGGGACGCGAACCGGCGCGACCGTTCGCTTTCTCCACGAGAACGACGACGACGACGGGAGCGGCTTCGGGCTTCGAGGGCTCGCGCTCAACGTCGGCTTCGAGGGCGAGATCGGGAGCGGCCCCGGGGTCGTGCGCGAGGGATTCCAAGCCGTCGCCGCCGCGCTCCTCGCGTCGTCCGACGCCGGTGGCAGAGCGCTGTTCAAACCGTGGAACGGCGACAGCGACGGCGGCGGCGACGGCGGCGCGGGAGGGGTGTGGTATCACGTCGATCCGAAGTGCGTCGTCGCGGCGTCCCCGAAGCCGTGGCGGTTCGTCGGGCGGTTTCTCGGTCTCGCCGTCGCCTCCGGGTGCCCGGTGCGTTTCCCGATCGTGCCGTGGCTGTGGTCGCAGATCCTCGGCGACGACGGCACGCGCGGCGCCGTGGAGCGGTTGCGCGACGCCGTGCGCGCGGCGGGCGCGGGCGGCGAGGAAGGGGGCGTGGGCGAGGCGGACGTCGTCGCCGAGGCGGAGGCGCTGTTGGAGGCGATGGCGCCGGTGGAGCCGGAGTTTTGCCGCGGGCTCGCGCGTCTGCTCGCGAAGCCGATGGCGGACGAGAGCAACGCGTGGGCGATCGGGGAGCTCGTGTTCAGGCGCGAGGACAGCGGCGAGAGCGACGTCGATGACCTTCAGGGTGATGATAACGCTCAAGAAGCAGACGTTACGACGAAAGAGGAGGACTCGGACGCGGACGCGGACTCGGACTCGGACTCGAACGCCGCCGGGGACGTCGTCGTCACCGACGCCAACAAAGCCAAGTACGTCCTTCAAACGCTGAAGCACCGCGCGGCGCGCCATCTCGGCGCGTCCACCGCGTTCGCCGTGGACGCGATCCGGCGCGGACTCGCGGACGTCATCCCCCTTAACGCGCTGAGAGGGTTCACCCCGGAGGATCTCCGCCGAGCCGTCTGCGGCGTCGAGGCATTGTGTCCGCGGGAATGGCGGCGCGCGACCCAGTGCGAGATCGTTTCCCCCGCGTACGATATCACCGCTCCTCTCGGCGGCGGCGGCGGCGGCGGCGGCGGCGGGCGCGGCGGTGGACGGTCGATGTACGCCTCGTCCACCGCGGCGGCGGGCGGCGGCGGCGGCGGCGAGGGCATCGTGGAGTGGTTCTGGCGCGCGGTGGAGTCGTTCACGGCGGAGCGGCGCGCAAATTTGTTGACGTTTTGGACTGGCGCCGCGGTGCTGGGTCCCAACGGGTTTCACGAGTGCGACTTTCGACTGACGCTCGCGTCGCACTTGTCTCCGGAATCGCTGCCGGAGTCGCAGACGTGCTCGCGGACGATAAAACTCGCGAGGTACGTGACGTACGAGCAGCTGCGAGAGAAGCTGGTGAGCGCGATCGAGTACGGCGCGAGAGGGTTCGCGTTCGCGTGACGACGAGGGAGGTTTTGTGAAAAAAAAAAAGACGACGACGACGTCGGTGTACGTGTACAGTAATTGTTTTACATGCGTTCGAGGTCTACAATCACGCCTCGGCATCAGGATCGTAGTCGTGAAGGTGAGACATGTCCGGGAGCGTCGTCACCCCGTCATGAGCGAAGTGGCTATAGAGTTCGTCGAGGAGGGCTTTTGGATTCATCTCCGCACCCGTCGAGTCCCTTCTCTTGACAAACGCGAACCGGTGAAACGGGGGCGTCTTCTCGTACTCTGCCCTGGATAACCAACGCTTGATGTCTTCTTCCGTCGGAAATGGGCACCCGTTCTTCAACGCCCACTCGAAAGCGATGGGTCGTTTCCATTCCTGCGCTCGGAGGTACACATCGCCATCCCACGGACACCCGTTCTCGCGCGCAAAGCGTAACAACTCCGCGTCGCGCCCTCCTTCTCCCGCCGCGTTCGCGGTCGCGCTCTCGTCCCACGGGCACGGCCCCCAGGTTTCTCCCGTCTCCATGATCGTTTCTAGCAGGAAACTCTCACTCCGAAGCCATTTGAGAATGTCGAGATGCCCGCCTAACGCCGCGTCCGCGGTCACGAGCTCGTCGAACGGATACTCGAGATTCCGCAAGACCTCGAGAACGTTTCTCCTCCCGTGGAGCGCCGCGCGCGCGGCGTATTTCGACGACTCCTCGCATTCGCACCCGTTGTTTATCGCCCAGAGCATCATCTCGACGTGCCCGTGCTCCGCGGCTTTCAAGACGACACCATCACACCAGTCGCACGAGAGCTCCTCGCGTAAATACTTCAGCGCGTCCAAGTGCCCCTCCGCGGCGGCATTCTGCGCGCACGCCCCGTACGTGAACATCATCGGAATGGAGTTACCCCACTCGTCACGCCACTCGTCGGTCCAACCGCTGTTTCCGACGGTGGCGACGAACTTAATCACGTCCACGGATCCCGCCGCGGCGACATCCGCGCTCATGTCTTCGCGCATTTCTCTCGTGAGAGACCTTCCGTCGAAAGCTCCCGAGAAGTCCGTCAACAGCCGTCGCAAGATCGTCACCGCGTCGTCCGACTCCAGGTGCGCCTTCCTCCAGGATGCGTAGTAGTCGTAGGATGCGGGAAGCTCCCCAAACGCAAACGCACACTGCCAGGGTGCCCGCTTGACGTTCATCCTCAAAGCGTGCCTGAAGAGTCCCATGCCGAGCTGCAAGAGCCCGTTTTCTACCGCCCACTTGAACCGAGGGACCGTCGTCAAGAACGCGGCCTGATCGAGCTTCCCGTTCTCCCTCGCGCGCGCCTTGAAGCCATGGAACAGGTCCGCGCACGCGCGCGTCGACGTCGCGAACGACGCGGGGTCCAGTCGAGAGAAGATCTCGCTCGCGGCGTCGGTCTCGTCGAGCAGGAACTTCACGAGCGGAGCGGCGCTCTGGGGTCTCGCGGCCGCGGCCTTCTCGTACGGCGGCGTCGTCGGCCTCCGCGGCTCCGTCGGGTTGAGTTTCGCCTTCTTCTTCGGCGGCATGATGACGCCGCGCCGGCGCGCGTGCCAGGCGCGGACGGCAGTGCTGGACCACGATCACGACTGGACGGCGATTTTTTTGAGATCTCGCTCTCGTCTCTCGACGGACGGGCCGTCACTACGTCCGAGCGCCGGGTCAGCGGCGGCGGCGGCGGCGAGGGCGGCTCCACCGATGCGATCGCGAAGCGTCAGCGGCGTCAGCGTCAGCGACAGCGACAGCGAGAGCGGCAGCGGACGGTCGGGCTCGGGGTCGAGCCGCGATCGCGGCAGAGCGCGACGACGGCACGACAGCAGCTCGGAGGACGAATCGGACTCCGACGCCGGCGGCGGCGCGCGACGCGGCGGGAACGAGCGCGACGAGGACAAGGAGCGACGGAAGCGGGAGAAGAAGGAGAAGAAGAAGCTGAAGAAAGCGGAGAAGAAGGCGCGGAAGAAGGCGAAGAAGGCGGCGAAGCGAGACGCGAAGGATGCGAAGCGACGAGCGAAGAAACGATCCAGGAGAGACGACGACGGCGACGACGGCGGCGACGGCGACGGCGACGGCGACGGCGGCGGCGGCGGCGGCGGCGAGGTGAGACGTCACGACGACGCGCACGCGCGCGTGCGCGATGTCCCGCCGCCGCCGCGCTTCCCCGACGCGCCCGAACCGACGACGAAGAAGCCGAAGGGCGGCCTCGAGACGCGATCGAGGGAGATGGTCGAGAGCGAAAAAGCCGACGCGGCTGCTTTAGCGGCGGCTGACGCGGCGGCGCGGAGAAAAGCCGAGGAAGACGCCGCAGCCGCGAAAGCCGCATCAGACGCCGCGGAGGAGGAAGCGCGCGCGAAGCTCGCGGAGTCCGTGGACGCGACGCCGCCGGTGCCGGGGTTCGGCGCGGCGATGACGCTGGAGCAGTACCGCGCCATGGCGGCTCAAAAAACGTATCTCCGCGGGACGATACACGCGACGCCGCAGGAGGATAAGGACGAGGAGATGGACAAGGCGAAGAAAGGGTGGTGGGCGTGCCAGTCGTACAAGTGCACGAAGGGCGGGGGCGCGAACCACATGAACCCAAAGTATGCGGACAAGTGCACGCGGTGTAACGCGATGAAGCCGTTGGGCGCGGGCGCCGGGACGTTTTCACACGGGATGAGCGAGAAGGCGTACTTGGCGAACAGTTCGAAACGGTTAGGGAAGTAGCGTCGTTATATCGTGAGAGTGTTGTGATGGTACAACAGTAGTACTGTAGTCTTCTACGTCGCCGCGAAGCCAGCCGCCGGTCCGGTCGTCGTCTCGCCGGCGGCGGCTACGAGTAAAAATAAATCAAATCCCCGCTCGAAATCTCTACTCGATCTTCACGTCCAGCCCCCCGCGGCCGCGGTTCGCGTTGATCCAATCCACGATGCTCAGCTCGTCCATGTTCACCCCCGCGTAGACGTCATCGCCGCCGCCGTCACCGCTGCCGCGACCCCCCGTCGCGATGTCGTTCATCGCCGCCCCGAACAGCGCCACCCCCGTGAAGTTCCCGTCGGGCGACACCTGCGGGGTCGTTCCATACGAGCGAACGTCGGGGTGGAGTTCAAAGGCGTCAGTTGAAGTTGAAAGGCGCCGAAGGCGGGGATTGAAAGCGAGGGACCCTGGGCGGAGAGACACGCCGGGCAAAGTCCTTAAGGATCGGCGTTCACCACGCCGACGCGGTCGTATGGGAACCAGTGTGAGATAGAACGCGCCTGCAGCCGTCGGCTCGTCGCGGCGCCGACGCCGACGACGGCGACGTCGTGGTCGTACACCTCCAACGTCGCGTACGACGTGCTCCCGCGCTTCGCCTCGAGCATCGCCTCTAGGGTCACGTGGTGCACCCTTCCGAACGTGTGCAGGCCGTCTTTGGGGTTGATCACGAGCGTCCGGCCGTACCCGCCCGGGTGGTCGTGGCCCGCGACGCAGAGCGCCACCGCCGGGCACGCCTTAGGGTCGTTCCATACGAGCGATGATATCGGGGTGGAGTTGAAAGGCGTCAGAAGCGGAGTTGAAAGGCGTCGAGGGCGAGGATTGAAAGCGAGGGACCCTGGGCGGAGAGATGCGCCGGGAAAAGTCTTCAAGGATCGGCGTTCACCACGCCGACGCGGTCGTATGGGGACCGGTGTGACATAGAACGCGCCTCGAGCGTCCGCGCGAGCTCCCGCGCGTTCCACGCCGCCATGCCCGGGCGCGCGCTCGTCGGCGACAGCGCGCAGTGCGACGCGATCAACACGCGCTCCTCGTTCGTCACCGCGTCGGCCAACGTCTTCTCGAGCCACGCGAGCTGCGCGTCGCCGACGCCGCCGCCCCACGGCTTGCAGACGTCGTCGGGAGCGGGAGCGCCGAGGACGCGAGCCGCGTCGCCTCCCGCCGCCGCCGCCTTCGCGTCTCGAACGTATGCCTCCCCCGCCAGCTGCGCCTCCGACCCGGGCGTCGCGTACCGTGGGTTCACGTCCGTGGTGTCTAGAACGATTAAACGCCACCCGCGCGGCAGTTTCTTCGTAAAGTACGCCGCGCGCCCGGGGTTCCCTCCCAGGACGCGCAGCGCGTCTTCGCGCGGCACGTTGAGGTCGTGGTTTCCGAGGCAGTGATACACCGGGGTCGCGCCGCGCGTCTCCTCCACGATTCCCGCCATCAGCGCCAAGTCTTCCAGGTTTTGCCGCAGGAGATGTTCCGGGACCGCGGCGCGGCGCGTGGGCACCTCCGCGCGGACGTCGTCGTCGTTCCTCCCGTCGATGATGTCGCCCAGGTTGAGCACGCACGCGAGCGACTCGGGGTCGAGGGCCCATACGAGCAGATGTCGGGGTGGAGTTCAAAGGCGTCAGTCGGAGTTGAAAGGCATCGAGGGCGAGGATTGAAAGCGGGGGACCCTGGGCGGAGAGAAACGCCGGGAAAAGTCCTTAAGGATCGGCGTTCACCACGCCAACGCGGTCGTATGGGGACCGGTGTGACATAGAACGCACCTCCCCGCCGCGCTTTCGAATGTCGCGCATCGCCGCTCGCAGCCTCGCGGGCCCCTCGCGGAAGTACTTCACGCGCCCGGGCTCGCACTCGCGCTCGTGGTCGTCCCTGTCCGCGTACTGCGCGTCCGCGAAGAGACCGATCGTGAACAGCGGCTTGGATCGCATCACCTCGAGGCGCGCGGCGGAGCCCGGCTGGTTGATCGCGGGGAGTCGAGGCCGCCGGGGGATCATCGCGTCGTCCGCGTCCGCGTCGCGCGACGCGCCCCCGGGTCCGCCGCGCGCGCGCGTCGCCGTCGTCGGCGGCGGCGGCGCGCGTCCGCGTCGACGGCGAAAGGAGGAGGGGAGCGTCGCCGCGCCGCGGAGCGCGGCCGCGGCGGGGTGAGGCATCCGCGGCGGGACGCTGCGCCTCTCGAAGTGCCCACGTGGATCGATTTTGGCGCGAGAAGAGATCGGGCGTTCCGACAGGACGACGCCGTCGCGACAACGACGCGCGCGCTTCCGCCTCCGCCTCCGCCGCGCGCCTCGCGCCTCCCCCCTCCCTCCGCAGCGAACGACGCGATGCCGCTCGCGTCCTCCGCCGCGCCTCCGACGACCTCCTCCCTCCTCGCGCCGACGCCGCCGTCGACGCGCCGCCGCGTCGTCGTCGTCCGCCGCCCGCGTCCGCGTTCGTCGCCGCGGACGACGACGACGACGACGCGCGCGCACTGGAACGTCGCGCGCACGGGGACGCGCGCGCACTCGCGCGCGCCGCACCAGATCTCGATCGCGCTGCCGCGCCCGATCAGCGACCATCTCGGCTTCGCGCCGGAGCACCTCCCGGCGCCGCACCGCTACCCGGAGCTCGAGGCGAGGCGTCGTGGCTTCGCCCCTCTCTTTCTCGGTCGCCTCGAGAGGTTTTTTTTTTTGGTCCTTTCTTTCGCGTCGGTCCGCGCTCGCTCACGCGTCTCGCGCTTCCTCGCTCGACGACCCTGCTCACCGGCGGAGTTCCAACGCACGGGCGTCGCGACCGGCGCGGTCGTCGAGCGCGTCGTGCCGCATCCACCGGGCGTCGCCGGCGGGCTCATCGAGCCCGGGGACGTCCTGCTGTGGATCGAAGACCAGACGCGGACGCCGCCGAGGAAGTTCGGCGCGTTCTATACACTGGTCCCCATACGACCGCGTCCGCGTGGTGAACGCCGATCCTTAAGGACTTTGCCCGTCGTCTCTCTCTGCTCATCCCTCGCTTTCAATCCCCGCCCTCGACGCCTTTCAACTCCGCTTCTGACGCCTTTGAACTCCACCCCGACATCGCTTTGTATGGAACGACCCTTAGTCGAGGAGGACTCCTTCGAAAAGATACTGGAGTGGACGCGCGAGAGCGTCGGTCCCGACGGGCGCCGGGGGAGCATGACGCTTCGGTTCGTCCGGTACCCGATCGACGACATCGTCCGCGGGGAGTTTCTGGCGTCGCATCCGGACGCGCCGGGGCACGAGGAGGGCGTCAGCGGGTTGTATCGTTGAGGCGCGAGCGAGAAGAGGCGCACGTGTAGACTTGAAGAAAAGAAGGCGTTTTCGCGGAACGCGCGCGGCCGTTTTTCCTTCAAAAGAACCCTGACTTTTAGCCGTTGCAACCGCCGCGCCATTCGTCGTGCGTCATCGTCCTCGGTGTCGTCGCGAGGGGAACGCGCGGCCGCGCACACACGTCGACGCGACCGCCGCGATGTCGTCGCGCGCACAACCCGCGCGGAAGCCGTGGGGCGCGTCCGCGGAGTTTGGACGAGGCGCGCGCGCGCCCTTCTACGACGCGCCCTCCTCAGATCTCGCGGCGACGCGCGACGCGGGCGGGGGAGGAACGACGAAAACGACGACACGGCGTTCCCTGCGCGAGGTGCGCGCGAACGAGCCGTCGCCGCGGCCGCGTTTGAACGCGAAGCCGACGACGACGAAAGGGGGCGCGTCAAAAAAGGCGCCGTCGCGCAGGACGTCAAAGGACGCGAAGAAGCGCTCGCCCGCGGCGTCGCCGAGGAAGGCGTTCGGGATCGCCCGCGACGATGAGAACGAATTCTCATTCTCCGCGCTCGCGGGCGACGGCGACGCGTGGAAAAACCTCCCCGCGTCGCCGTCGCCGTCCGCGGCCGGGTGCTCGCTGCACGACCTCGGCGCGGAGGAGAAGCGCAAGGTCGCGAAGCTGATCCGTCAGGTGGTGGAGTACGCGGACGCGCGCAAGAAGCTCGAGGCGGGGCTCAAAGAATCGACGGAGGCGATGGCGCGCGAGAGGGAACGCGCGCGACGCGCGGAGGAGGAGGCGGAGAGCGTCAAGGCGAAGCTCTCGAACGCGTTCGCGCTGATCCGGTCGTACCAGGCGCAGATTCGTGCGAAGGACGACGAGCTCGCGCGGCGCGCCGTCGTCGTCGCGGCGCCGTCGCCGTCGCCGTCGCCGCCCGCGAAAGCAGCGCTCGTCGAGGCGCCGACGAGCGGAGCCGTCGTCGTCCGCGCCGCGACCGCCGCCGCCGCCGCGGAGCTGGAAGCCGCGGCGACGCCGCACGACGTCGAGGAGGAGGAGGAGGAGGAGGAGGACGAGCCCGCCGAGGAATCTGAACCTGAACCCGGCACGCCGCCGGTCGCGACGACGCGCGCGCTGGTCGTCGCCGCCGCCGCGTCGTCGCCGTTCATCCCCGGGCTGTCCCCCGCGTCGTCGCGCGATCTCAGACGGCTGATCCGGCTCGCGGGCGCGCCGCCGCCTCCCACCGCGGTCGTCGTCAAGGCGGCGGGCGGGAGCGGGAACGAAAAATCGAGCAAGATGGCGAGCGCGGCGGCGGCGGCGGCGGCGCGGGTGATGCAGCACAGAGAGAGCGCAGAGAGCCCGACGACGGCGGCGACTGAGGTGTGTTCTATACACTAGTCCCCATACGACCCCGTTCGCGAGGTGGACGCCGATCCTTAAGGACTTTTGCCGTCGTTTCTCTCCGCCCACCCCTCGCTTTCAACCCCCGCCCTCGATGCCTTTCAACGCCAACTGACGCCTTTCAACTCCACCCCGACGTTCGCTTGTATAGAACGGCCCTGAGACGCCGTCGCCGGCGGCGACGTTGAAGCTGACGCTGTCGCCGTCGCCGTCGCCGGAGGGGATGGGCGCGGGGGAAACCGAGTCCACGACGCCGCTTTTGCCGCAGGAGGTGAGGGATGCTGCCGCGGCGGCCGCGGCGGCGGATCCGAACGACGCGCTCGTCGCCGCGCTCGCCGCGGGCGCGGCGGCGGCGGGGGAGGCGCGCGGGGCGAACGGCGAAGGCGCGACGCCGCCGCCGCCGCCGCCGACGACGCGACAGAACCGCGTGCTTCGGTTCGATCCGTCCGTCGGCGCGGCCGGGGCGTTTTACTTCTCCGACGCGTCGGTGACGCCGCCGACGGCGGCGACGACGGCCGCCGCGGCGAGCGCGATCAGCCCGTCGTCCTGGAACGTCGACCCCGGAGAAGAAGAAGCGTTAAGAACCCTGAATCCGCCCGCCGCGGCGCCGCCCGCCGTCCCTGGGTTGGACCAAGGCGCGGACGCGTTCGGGTCGTTCGAAGCCGCGGAAGCGTACGCGGAAACCGCTGTGAAGTTAGAAGACACCGAGACGGCGTGGGCGGAAGCGCGCGCGGCCGCGGACGCCGCGGAAGCGCTCGTGGCGTCGCGTCGCGACGGCGGCGGCGGCGGCGGCGGCGTCAAAAAGGTTTTCAAAATCGTCCGCGCCGCGGAGGTGCAGACGTCCCCGCCCGTCGCGCCTCGCGCGGCGACGCGTGAGGCTGCGGTGTGCTTCACCGCGTCTCCGAACGCGCCGGCGTCGCCGGACGTGCCGCAGCCGCCGGCGTCGTTCATGTTCGCGCCGCGGGGGCGGTCCGGTCTCGTCGAGGACGCGGAGGACTCAGCCGCCGCCGCCGCCGCGCCGCCGCCGCCGCCGCCGGCTGCCGTTCTCGACGAACCGGTTCCCCCGGCGCCGAGCGCGGCGCCGAGCGCGGCGACGCGCCATCGCGTGCTGACGCCCGAGGAGATCGCGCGGCGCGCGGAGATGGCGTCGCGGTTGCTCGCGGGCGAACGGTCCGCGGCGGCGGCGGGGTATTCGCCCGCGGCGTCGCCGTCGCTGTCCGTCCCGGATCAGCGGACGCGTTTCGTCGCCGCCGCCGCCTCGGAGCGAGCGAAACCCCCCGTTTCGGAGGACACGCCGGAGCTGGTCGTGGAGGTATCGCCAGAAGAGGAGCCGACGACGTCGGCGAAGCCGTGCGCGCACGATAAAACGGTCGATTTACGGCCGTTATCGTACGGCACGACTGGGTTCGACGCGTCTTTGGTGGATTTAATCGACGAGGTGGAGGCGATGGGGGGTTCGGTCGGTCGGTTACACGTCGACGGCGGCGGCGGCGGCGGCGGCTCCGCGCGGAAGAAGCCCGCGAGCGGCCCCGGGGGGAAGAAGACGAAGGGTAAGAAGCCGGCGCCGAGCAAGAGGCACGCGCAGGCGCCGGGGTGGTACACGAATTACAGGAGTTTTTGATCGCAGTCGATGAAAGCACTGTTGTTAGTTTCATTAAACGTATGGACATTCGTTCCTCCCCCCCCCCGCGCCCCGTTATGACCCGATCCCTCCGCCGCGCGTCGCTTTCCTCCGCTCGCGCGCGTCGGCGTTCCCAGTAGTTCCGTCACCCGCGTCGTCGTCGTTAGTTAATTCCCCCCACCTCTTCTCTTCTCTTCCCGGCGGCGATCGATCGATCGAAACGTTCGTTCGACGTTCATCTGTTACCACACTGGTCCCCATACGGCCGCGTTGGCGTGGTGAACGCCGATCCTTAAGGACTTTTGCCGGCGTGTCTCTCGATCCTTCACCGCCGCGACGTCTTGTTCGCCCCGAGCGCGCTCCTCGTCTTCGCGCCCCCGACCGCCATGCTCGCTCTCCGCGCCATCGCTCCCGGCGGCAGCGGCATCGCGCCCGCAGCCTTCCCAGCGTTCGGCTTCTTATTCTCCTGCTCCCCCCCGAACCCGCCGTCCGGATTCGTCGACTGAATGTTTCGCTTGGCGCCGCGCGTCTTTCCGTTCCCGCCGAGCTCAACCGCGTTGACCTGCGCGGCGAATCGCAGCGAACACATCGACTCCTCCGCGCTCTCCGGCTCCGGCGCGACGTTCACGAGCATCATCGTCTTCCCGTCGCCCCCCAAGCACGGCGCGAGGAGGTGCGTCAGCTTGCTGTTCCGGTATGGCACGTGCTTATCGCCTCGTCCGATGGACATGAAGACGTCGCCGAGGGACGAGAGCGACTTGTTGATGGCGCACGCCTCCTTCATGCGTTGGCCCTCCGCGCCGCTGCGCGCCGTGCGCTCGCTCCCGGCGAGGTCGACGAGGTTGAGGCATCCGCTGAGCTGCTGCCCGCTCGCGCGGTGCGTCCCCGTGATGTACAGGAGGAAGAGCGTGTGCGAGCGCGACGACTGCGCGTTCATCTGCGTCGCCTCGACGGCTCTGGCGGCGGCGGCGCGGCGGACGAGCGTCGCGGCGTGCGCGACGGAGGCGACGCGCTCGCGCTCGACGCCGCTGACTTCGGGGCAGCCGCCCTTTGGGTTGGCGACGATCGCGTGCTTCTCGCTGTGGTAGCTCCCGGGACGCAGGAGGTCGCGAATCTGCTCGTTGTAAATCTCCACGTAGGAAGCCTCCATGGCGTATTCGTACCCCTTCGCTTTGAGGTTTTCCGCCGTCTCGAGCACTTTTTGAACCGCGCGAGGGATGATGCCGGCGTTGTCGCCGTCGCCCGCGCCGAGCATCGTGTGCGTCTTCCCCGAGCCCGTCTGCCCGTACGAGAACAGGCACACCTTGTACCCGTCCAGCGCGGACTGCACGAGCTGGGAGACTTCCTCGAAGACGTCCGATTGCGTCGCGTCCGGTCCAAACGCGCGGTCGAACGAAAAGCACTGGTCATCCCCGAGCCTGTCGACGACGGACATGGAATCCTTGTCCACGTGCTTGACCGCGGCGTGCGCTTCCTCGCCAGCCTTCGGCGGGCGCATGCGCGCGAAGACGCGAACGTTCCCGCGGAGCTCCTGGATCTGGTTGTGCATCGCGCGGCGAAGATCGTCCGCGTCCATCAGCTGTCGCTCGAGCTCCTCCACCCGCGCCTCCACGGCGGCGACGGCGGACGCCTCCGCCGTCGCCCTCGACCGCTCCTCCGCGAGCGTCCTCCGGAGCGCCTCCGTCTCTTTGTTCGCCGCGACGAGCGCCTCGGTCCGCGCCTCCTCCGTCGCGCCGCGCGACGCCTGCAGCGCGGTGATCTCCGCGCGCAGCGCCCCCGCGGCGTTTTCCATCTCCCGCGTCGCCTTCTCGGCGTGCTCGGCGCGCGCGACGATCGCCGCGCGCTCCGCCGCGGCTTTCGCGCGCTCCTCCGCCGCCGCCGCGAGGACGCGCGCGTTCTCTTCCTTCTCGCTGTCCAGCTGCGCGATGACGCCGTCGAGGCGCGCTTTGTGCTGCGCCGCGCGCTCTTCCGCGTCGGCGACGGCCGCGTCGCCGGCTTCGTGCGCGGCGCGGCGGCTCTCATCGAATCGCGCCTCCGCCGCCGCCGTCGCCGCGTCGACGAGGTGCTTCGTCTCTTGCTCGAGCTCCGTCTTTTGCATCGCGAGCGCCGTCTCGCGGTCCTTCGCCGCGACCGCGTCGAGCTCAGCCTTGAGCGTCGCGAGCGCGGTCGCCTTGGCGGTCGCGGCGGCGAGCTCGAGCTCGGACGTGGCGGCGGCGACGGCGGCGGCGATCTTCGTCTCCGTCTCTCCGCCGACGGCGGCTCTGAGGGAGTCCATCGCGCGCGTCGTCTCCGACTCGAGCGCCGCGCGCTCCGTCGCGAACGCAGACTCCATGGACGCCTTCTGCTTCGCGAGCGCGGCGGCGTTCTCCGCGCGCGCGAGCTCCACGGCGGCGTTCTTGTTGCTCTCGCCGGAGGCTTGCAGCATCTCGAGCTGCGCCTCGAGCGCGGCTTCTTGGTTCTCCGCGGCGCGCTTCGTCAACTCTGCCCTCACGTCGGCCAGCTCCTCCGCGTGCGCGGCGTTGATCTCCTTCTCCAACAGCTCGATCGCTTCGGACTTGTCCTCGATCGCAGCCTCGGCTTGGAGTTCCAGCGCGGCGTCCTTGTCCGCGGCGGCGGTCTGAGCGGCGGATTCCATCGCCGCGGCGTGCGCCGCCGCCGCCGCCGCGAGCGCCGCCTCTCTCGCCGCCGACGCCTCCGCGAGCGCTCTCGCCTTTTCATTCGCCGCGAGCTCGAGCGCGGTCGCCTTCTCGGACGCGAGCTCCGTGCGGAGCGCGTTCTCGAGCTGCGACAGCGCGGCGGTCTTCTCCGCGGCGGCGACGGCGGCGGCGGCGGCGAGAGAGGCGGTCATCTCCTCCGTCGTGTTGGCTTTCATCGACGCCTCTAGCGCCTCCAACGCGTCGCTCTTCTCCTTCGTCGCGGCGGCGAGCGCGGCGGACGCCTCCGCGGCGAGCGCCTCGTGCTGCGCGCGGAGCGCGGATTCCTTCTCCGCGGTCGCGGTCGCGACCGCGGCGGCGACCGCGGCGCGCGTCTCTTCGGACGCCTTGGCGGCCGCTTCCGTCGCGGCGTGAAACGCGCGCGCCGTCATCTCCGCTTCCTGACGTTCCAACGCCGCCGTCTTCTCAGCGCGCGCGCGTTCGAGCGCGGCGTCCATGGCGGCGGTCGCGCTCTCCGTCGCGGCGGCGTACTCCGCAGCCGCGGCGTCGAGCGCCTGGCGCTTGTCCGCCGCGGCTTCGTCGCGGATGGACGCCTCGAGGGCAGCCATCGCGCCGGATTTGTCCCCGGCGGCGGCGGCGAGCTTGGCGTTCATCTCCTCGACGAGCGTCGCGCGCGTCGCCGCCACCGCGACGCGGCTCGCCTCCTCCGCGGCGGCGAGCGCGGCGGCGTGGGACGCGTCCTTGTCGTTCGCGAGCGACGCGAGCGACGACTTGAGCGACTCCGCGTGTTCGCGCTTGGCGTTGTCGAGGACGGCGGCTGATGCGGCGGCGGCGGCTTCGAGAGCCGCCGTCTTTTCGTTCGCCGCGGACAGAGCCAACGCGGACTTGTCCTCCGCGAATCTCGCGCTGAGGGCCATCTCTTGCTCGCGCAGCGCCGCGGTCTTCTCTTTCGCAAAGTCCATGAGGAGCTGCGACTTTTCGTTCGCGGCGCCGACGAGCGCGGTGGAGCGTTCGCTCGCCGCGGTCGTGAGCGCCTTGGAGAGCTCCTCCGCTGCGTCTTTGCGAATGGACGCCTCCTGAAGCCTGAGCTTCGTCGCGAGGGTCTCTTCCGCGAGCGCGGCTTGTTTCTGTAACGCCTCCTCCTTGGACGTTTTCGCAGCCTCGATCGCGGCGGCGAGCTCTTCCTTCGCGACGCGCTTCGCCTCCGCGAGGCTCGTCTTCGCGCTCTCCAGAAGCGCCTCCTCTCTCGCTTTGAGCGCAGCCGAAGATTGCTCCGCCGCCGTCGCCAACGCGGCATCCTTCTCCGCGGCGCACTCCTCGCGGACGGACGCCTCCAACGACGCGAGCGCCGCCTTCGTGGACTTGGACGCGCCCTCCAGGGACGCGAGCTTCGCGGCGCTGAGCTCCGCGCGGAGGCTCGCCTCGAGTTCCGCCAGCGCCGCGTCCTTCTCCTCCGCGGCTTCGGATTTCGCCCACGCGATCTCCTGCGCGGCGGCGGCCCGAGCCGCCGTCTCCGCGGCAGCCATCTGCGCCTCCGCGGCGTCCTCCGCAGCCATGACCGCCTCCTCGAGCTCCGTCTGAAGCGCGAGCTTCACAGCCTCGATCTCCTCGACGTGCGACGCCTCGCGGGCGGCGGTCCACGCCGCGAGCTCGGCGGCGGCGCTCTCCGCGTGCGCCGCGAGGACGAGCTCTTCGTGGTTCTTCGACGACGCGCGGCACGCCTCCACCGCCGCGTCCGTCTCCGCGGTGTGCTTCGCGTGGAGTTCCGCGCGCACAGCGCGCGTCGCGTCGTCGACCGCGGCTTGGAGCGCCTTGGCCGCGTCCTGAAGCGCGCGCGCCTTCTCCGTCGCCGCGGCTTCGAGGAGCGCGACGCGCTGCGCCTCGAGCGCAGCCTCCGCGGCTTCCTCCTTCGCGCGCATCGCCGCCGCGTGCTCGCTCGCGGCGCGATCCATCGCGTCTCGGAGCGACGCGGCGCCCGAGCCGGCGAGTTCGAGACGCTGCGCGTCGAGCGCGGCGGCTTTGTCCGCCTCCGCGGCGGCGGCGGCGGCGGCGGCGGCGTTCACCGCCGTCGCCTTGGCCTCCTCCAGGGCCGCCTTCATCGCGTTCGCGTGCGCTTCTTCCGCCTCCGCGGCGAGCTTCGCGATCGCGGCAGCCTCGCGCTCGCTCGCCTCGACGCGCGCGGTCTCGAGCGCGGCGGTCATCTCGGTCGCGGCGGCGGCGAGCGCGGCTTTTTTATCCGTCGCGAGTTCTTCGCGGACAGACGCTTCGAGCGCCGCCATGGCGCCGTCCTTGTCCCCAGCCGCGGCGGTCAGCTTCGCATTCATCTCCTGCGCGTGCGTCGCTTGCAGCGTCGCGATCGCGTTCGCGCGCTCGGTCGCCGCGGTCGCGAGCGCGGCGGCGGTGGACGCGTTGAGCGCGTCCAGTTTTTCCGCGGCGGCGGCGGCGGCGGCGGCGGCGTTTTCCTTGGCGTGCGCGATCTCCACGCGGAGCTTCTCCGACTCCGCCACGTGTGCGGCTCTCGCGGCGGCGAGCTCGGACGCCGCGGCCGCTTCCACGCGCTTGAGCGTCTCCGCGGCTTGCTGCTTCGTGACCTCGTGCGCCTTCTCCGCGGTTTCGATGAGCCTCGCGGTTTCGCGCGCGGAGGACGCCGACTCCGAGCTGAGCTGCGCTTCGATGGCGGCGGCGCGTTCTTTGACCGCGGCGAGCGTCGCCGCGCTCTCCGCGGCGGCTTTCGCCGCGTGCTCGCGCGCGTCGCGAAGCGCCGTGAGGTGCGTCGCGTCGCGCTCGCTGAGCTCCTGCTTGTGCTTCGCCTCGCTCTCCTCGAGGCGCGACTTGACGACTTCGTGCCAATTCGCCTCGATTTCCTCCTCGTACCGCGACTTCTCCTCCATGAGCGACTGCTCGAGCATCTCGAGCGCGTCGTTCTTATCCGCGACCGCGTCCTTCATCGCGAGCTCGAGCTCCTCCGCGGCCGCCTCCGCGGCGCGCGCCGCCTCGGCGTTGAGGTCTTCAATCTTCGCCGCGGCAGCCTGCGCGGCGGCTTCGAGCGCGTTGACGCCGGCGCGAAGTTCATTCGTCATTGCCTCCGCCTCCGCGCGCTGCGCCTCGAACGCGCTCGCGTCCGACTCCTTCGCGAAGTTCGCCGCGGAGAGCTCGGCTTTCATCGTCGCGAGCTCGGCGCGGAGGGTATCGCAGATCGCCTCGGCGGCGGCGCACGCGGCTTCGGCGTCGGCGGCGCCGCGGCGTTCAGAGCCGAGGCGATCCATCGCTCGCGCCGCCTCCGCCTCCGCCTTCTCCGCGGCGGCGATGCGGCTCTCGACGTCCGCCTCGCGCTTGGCCAACGCGGATTTGACCTTGTGGTGCTCCTCCTCGCGGATCTTCGCGCGGTCGTCCTCGAGGCGGTCCGTCGCGCGCTGGAGCTCCGTCTCCGCTTCCTCGATCTTTCTCAGGTTTTCCTGAATCTGTTCGTTTTGGCGGCACAGACGCTCCTTCTCGTCGTTCAGCGCTCGCATCTCCTCCGCGGTCGCCACCTGCGAGTTCGCCGCGCTCTGCGCCTGCGCGCTCGCCGCGAGGCTCGCGCTCGCGTTCGCGGCGGAGAACGCCGCGTTCTCCGCCTGCATCACCGCGCCCTCCATTTCGCCGATGAGTTGCTCCTCCATGTGATGACACGCGTCCACGAGCTGATCCTTCTTCGTGAGCATCATCTTCAGCGTTTCCTTCGACGCCTTGATTTGGTGCACGAGCTCCTTGATGTACGCGTCGCCGTCCGTCTTCTTGAGTTTCGGGCGGAACGTGACCATCTTTTCGACGCCGCCGAGAAACGCGCCGTCGTCGAAGATGGCCGAAGTGAGCTCCAGGACCCTCCCCGCCTCGCGCATCGGCGGAATGGAACGCGTCGGCGTCGCGGCGCCGCGCGCGCGGAAGTCGTGCGGCGCCATGCTCTTGCGTTTCAGGCCGTCGAGACTGCGGGGAGCGCGGATGGGAGGGAGAGGAGGGATGGCGCGATGGGGAGGGATGGTCAGGGAGGGATGGTTTAGGGATGGTTTAGGGAGGGAAAAACGTCCGTCGTCGGCGAGCGGGGGGGGAACGGCGCGGGGACGGCCGCGCGCGCGCGTCGCGGGCGCGACGCGGCGCGCGACGCCCTCGCGGACGATCCCTGAGGCCGCGATATGGCGTCCCCGGACGCGCGCGGGGCGCGCGCGCGCGCGAGCGGTGGACGCCACCCCTCGCGCGTCGCCCGCCGCTTCGCGGCACGAACGCATCAGGTGGGGGGGGTATAACGCGACGGACGACCCGCGCGGGGACGGGGAGCGCGCGCGCACCGTCGTTTGAACTCCGCGGTCTTCGCGGCGCTGTTCGGCGGCGCGAGCTCGTTCACGTTCGCCTCCGCGAGGGGCCCGGCGCGGTTGGGCGTGCGCGCGTTCGCGCGCGTCATCGCGTTCTCGTCCCCTCCCGCCATCGCGTCCGCGGCGAGAGCTCCCGAGAGAGAGGGCGGTCTCTGAGATTTACTTTTTCCCCCCGTCGGAGCGCGAGCGCCGACGCGTGGGAAGCGCGTTCGTGCGCGTTACGGTCGCGTCGACGCGCGGCGCGTGATGTACCTGGTATTCACGCCGGGAGCGAAGATGCGCTCGCGGCCACGGCGTGCGCGTCGTGCGACGGCGACGCGTGAATGCGGTCGTCCCGCGCGCGATGGCAGCTGTCGTGGAAAAGCTTCGGAACGGCCAAACGGACGATTTTCACGCGCCGCGTCACGAAACGCCTCGACGCGATTTTCGCACTGGTAAACAGTCAGGCGAGTACGGACGCGCGTATCGTACTACTCGCGGGGCGCGGCGCTCGATCGAGACGACGCGTGTACGTCGTCGTCATCGACGTCGTCGTCGCCGTCACTCGAGCGTCGCGCGGTCAGGACGCGCGCGCGGTCGCACCGGAGAAGCGACGCGCGAGACCGAAACCCGCGGCGCGTCAGGAAGGACCGCGCCCGCGCGGAGAGAGGACCGCGCGTCGACCGCGAGCTCGCGCGCGGCGCGGCGCGGGGACGCCCCCGGGGCGCGCGGAGGGAGGGGCGCTCGGAGGGGGAGATCTCGCTCGCGAGGAGCGCGGCGGACGGGACGCGCGCTCGAGGAGGAAGAGAAGAAGAGCGCGACGGCGGGGGTGACGCGGGCGGGATGTCCGCGCTGAGAGAGGTCGCGAAGACCGCGCGTTCGCGGCGCGTTCGGAAGCAAGCCATGGAGCTCACCGCCGCGGCGGCGTCGCGCATCCGCGAGCTCCTGACGAAGCGCGAGAAGCAGTACCTCAAGATCGGCGTTCGCACCAGAGGCTGCAACGGCATGACGTACACGATGAACTACGCGGACGAGAGCGACAAGGGGAAGTTCGACGAGGTCGTCACGCACGAGGAGAGCGGCGTGAAGGTGATCATAGACCCGGGGGCTTTGATGCACGTGATCGGAACGAAGATGGACTTTGTCGAAGATCGCCTCAGGAGCGAGTTCGTGTTTGAGAACCCGAACGCGAAGGGCGAGTGCGGGTGCGGGGAGTCGTTCAACGTGTAGATACTGTAGTCAGTCGCGCGCGCGTCCGAGGACGCGGGCGGGGGATAGGGGGAGGAGGCGAAAGGGGGCGGAGGCTGCGAGATCTGCGGCCGCGTCGCGCCGCGCCGCCGAGGAAAATTAGGTATTCTTTCGACGACTGGACCAGACGTCGCGTGTATGATGAATGACTAGATAACGCCATGAAGATGACAGAATAATGATATACGCGCGCACTGGCCGACCGGCGGCTACTCGAGTTCCATCGCGGCGACGCCGTCGCCGAGCGCGTCCGCGCCGCCGCCCCCGCCGTCGGGGGAATACTCGTTCCCGCCGCGATGCGACGCGTCGTCCAGCTCCGCGCGCCTCGCCTCGATCACGCTCCGAATCTCCCCCTCCAGCGAGTAGTCGTGATCGACCGCCCACTGCATGTCCGCCTTGCTCAGCACCGTGGCGCTGACGAAGTCGACGGCTCGCACGGACGCGGTGCGCGGCTTGGCGGCGGCGTCGCCGTCTTCGGAGGACACCGCCATCTCGCCGATGAAGTCGCCCTTGCCTCGGGTCGCGACTTTCGAGACGCTTCCGTTCGCGTTCGCGACCGTGACGTCGCAGGTGCCCTCGCGGATGAGATACACCTCGTGCCCGAGCTCGCCTTGCCGTACGAGAAACGCACCAGGCTCGAACGTTTTCACCTGCAGCTTCATGCTGTCCGCGAACGTGTGCAGACGCGCCCGAGACGCCTTCAAGTTTTTAGAGCTCGCGTCGTTATCCGCGGTGAACCACGCGTGATTCAGAGCGTCCGCCGCGGTGAGTCGCTCCTTCACGTCGACGCACAGTAACCCCCTCAGAAGGTCCTTCACCTCCGGGCCGATCTGCTCCCACTCCGGCTGCGACGTTTGGAATTTACCGCTGCAGATGATGCGAAACAGCGTCTGTTGGTCGCTGTGCGCGTACGGGAAGGAACCGATGAGCAGCGTGTAGAGGATGACGCCCATGCTCCACACGTTCACCGCGGGGGTGTACGACTGCCCCAACAGAATCTCCGGGGCGACGTAAGACGGCGTCCCGCACTGCGTCGTGAACACCTGCCGCGCGTTCACGGCCTTCCTCGCGAGCCCAAAGTCCGCGATGACGACGGAGGATATGTCATTCGGTCGCGCGAGGAGCAGATTCTCGAGCTTCAAGTCGCGGTGAATCACGTTGTTGACGTGCATGTAACTCAGCGCCTCCAACAGCTGCCGCGCGATCACCTTCGCGTCTTGCTCCGTGTAATTCCCCAGGTCTAACAGCGCGTCTAACAGCTCGCCGCCTTTGAGCCACCCCATGACGATGTAAAACTTCCCGTTTTGGACGAAGTACTCGCGGACGTGCACGATGTTCGGATGCTCGATGCGCTTCATGACCTCGATCTCGTTCCGGATCTCATCCACGGAGACCTCGTCGTCATTCGGGTTCGAGCTCGACGTCGCCTTCATGACTTTGATCGCGTACTCCTGACGCGTTCGCTTGTGAACCGCGCCCCAGACGACGGCGTATCCGCCCGTGCCCAGCACGCTCTTCATCTCGTACACGTCCTGCACCTTGCGCACGTTCTTCAAGGTTTGCTCGCGATCGAGCGAGTTTCGTCGCGAGTTTTGCGACCCGCCTCGCGCGGAGGGGTCGCGCGAGGACGGCGGCGTGGAGCCGGCGGTCGCGCTCTGGACGCCGCCATTCTTCACCTTATTCTTCGCTTTGGACGCTTTCGACCCCATGTCCGCCGGCGCGCGCGGGCGGGAGCGCCGCGGGGCGCGGGGGAATAAGTTACCAAATTACCAATCGCGCGGGAAGGGATTCGCTCAGGATCCCGCAGCGCAAAAAAGGTCAAAAACACGTGGATCGGGACTGAGGGCGTCAGGTCGATCGCGCCGCGCGCCTCGGGAAGCGACGAAAAAAGGTGAAAAACGCTCGAGCGACGACGACGCCCCTCGGAGAGGACGCGCGCGCGGCGGCAGTCGTCGTCCGCGTCGTCGTCGCCGTCCGCGCGGACTCGAATCGCGTTCTCCGAGCGCGATACGCCGGAAGAGCGGCGCGCGCGCGGCGAGCGAGGCCGACGCGACGCGCGACGACGTCCGTCCTCCATCTATCTCATCCATCCGGGGGGGGAGAGGTGCCAACTCGGGGGAACGACTCGCGACGCGTCCGCATCGCGCTCGCGCGCCGGCTCCGATGACGGTCTTCGCGATCCCGCGTCCGCCGCCGCGCGACGACCGCGCGCCCGCGGCCGCGATGGACGCGCGCGCGGGGACGTCGCGGCCGCGCCCGCCGGGGACGGGGCGGCCGCTGCGTCCGAACAACGGGCGCGTCGCGCGCGCGCCGTCGGTTCCGACGACGAAGCCGTGCGCTCCCACGCTGGACGTCGTCGCCTCCATCGCGCCGCGACCGCCGCCGCCGGCGTCGAAGCGCCATCACCACCGCGCCGCCGCCGGTGGTAAGGAGAACGCCGCCGCGTCGTCGTCGTCGTCGTCCGGTCGCGCGGCGTACCTGAACGGGCCCACCGGCGAGCGGTTCGCGGGGCTCGAGCGGAGCCGGCCGTCGGGGGCGTCGGGACGCGCGCGACGAAAGCGATCGTCCCGCGACGACGACGACGGCGACGACGGCGACGGCGACGGCGGCGGCGGAGGCGCGGTCGGAGGCACGGTATTCAAGCCGCCGCTTCCGCTGGGCGATCACGAGATGCCGTTGAGACGCGCACACAGCGCCGGGAGCGCCATATCGCGGTTCATGGCCAAGCGCGCCGCGGCGAGGGGCGGCGGCGGCGGCGGCGGCGGGAACTTTCGCGGATGGATCAGGAGCGACGTCTTCAGGGCGGACTCTTCGGGGGCGTCGCCGTCGTCGAGCGCGAGCTCGAACGGCGGTTCGGCGAAGAAACACCACCGCGGGAGCAAACCGCGGTCGAAGAGCGCGTCCGCGTCGCCGTACGCGGCGTCGCTCCACGGAACGTCGCCGCCGTCGGCGTCGAAAACCGCGGCGAGGTTGTTTCGCAGCCTCGGCGGGCGCGGCGCCGGCGGCGGAGGGTCGAAGCGCGACGACCGCGGGTCCCCGGGGTCGTCGTCGCCGTCCTCCTCCTCGTCTTCCTCGCCGCCGCCGCTGCGGTCGAGCGGCGGCGGGCCCTCGTCGTCGTCGTCGTCGTCGTCTCCGGCTTTTAAGAAGAGAAGCGTCGACGGGCGGACGCGAGCGCGCGCGTCGAGGGCGACGCGCGAGGGAAGAGAGGGAACGAAACAGACGCTGCGAGCCAAGGTGGAGACGTACCGCGAGAGGGTGAAACATTTGGAGGACGAGAAGGCGACGCTCGCGACCGAGAAAGAGGCGCTCGTGGAGGAGAGCCAGGCGAAAGAAGACGATATGATGGAGCTCAAGAGCAGGATCGAAGCGTTGGAGATCGCCGCGTCCGCCGCCGCGACCGCCGCCATGGACGCCGCGACCGCTTCCGCCGCGCAGAGCTCGGCGCAGTACGTCGTGAGCCCAGAGTTCTCCCCGCCGCGGATGCCCTCGGCGCACGGCCGCGGTGGACCCGGCGGCGTCGACGACTCCCCGCCGAGGTGGATGAACAACGTCCGCGCGGGCGGCGGCGGCGGCGGCGGCGGCGAGCGCGCGAGCTCGAGCCCCCAGCGGCGGGGAGGGGCCGCGACGAAGGCGCGCGAGGAGGCCGGAAGGTCGTCCCCGAGGAAGGCGCCGGAGGAGAGAGAAGAGGAAGACTCTAACGAGGACGAGGACGTTGCCGCCGCGCCGGAGAGCCCGCCGCCGACGCCGCCGCGCGCCGTCGCCGTGGCGCTCGCGCTAGAAGCCGCCGCCGCATCAGCCGCCGCCGCGGCGAACGACGAGAAAGAGGACGCCGCGACCACGCCGCCGTCGTCGCCCGGAAGTGGAACCGTCGGGGAAGATGAACCGTCGCCGTCGTCGACCGACGCGACCGCGACCGCGAACGCGACCGCGAACGCGCTTCTCTCCTCGCCGCCGATCGTCGCGGTGTCGCGGTCGCGACCGGCGCCGCGCGCGCCCTGCCTCGCGTGCGCGGCGCTCCCGGGCGTCGCCGCCGAGCGCGACCGCGCGGTGAAAAACGTGGACCAGGCGCGTTCTATTTCATTTCACACTGGTCCCCATACGACCCCGTTCGCGTGGTGAACGCCGATCCTTAAGGACTTTCCTTTCTCTCCCCGCGGGCGCGCGTCACTCTCCGCCCATCACCCCTCGCTTTCGATCCCGACGCGCGCACCTCGACGCCTCTCATCGACTCCCGCTGACGCGCCCCCGAACTCCGCCCCGACGTCGCTTCGCTTCGCGCGGAAAATTAATTACTGTACCCTCATCAGCTCGAACGCGCGCTGTTCGAATCCCGACGCCTGGGCAACGAGTACGCCGCGCGCTACGCGTTCGTGGTCCTCGACGCGGACAGGGACGGGCGCGTCCACGTGGACGAGCTCTTGCGGTACGAGCTGTTCGCGTCGTACGGCCAGGCGGTCGTCGAGCGTATGCACGCGTACTACGAGTGCGAGGGGTCGGGGACGCGTGGGAGCCTCGACGAGAGCGATTTTTGCCGTCTGTCCGCGATGGCGGAGGACAGGGCGGGGAGCGTCGCCGCCGCGCGGTTTTGGTTTCGGGTGTGCGACGTGGACGGCGACGGCGTGATCTCCGCGCATGACATCAAGTGGATGTACGACGCGATCTGGAAAGAGGAAGGGACGTGCGTGAGTTTGGAGGATTTCGTGTGTCAGATTTTCGACATGGCGGGGAAGAAGGGCGGCGGCGACGGCGACGGCGTGACGTTTCAGGACATCAAACGGTCCGGGCTCGGGAGCGGGATATTCGGCCTGCTCCTGAACCACAACGACATGCTTCTGCGGCGCAGCACCGCGGAGTTTTCGAGGAGCGACGTCCCGATGTGACCGACCCAACGCGATCGCGACTACCTTCGTTATATCATAGTCTTCTACGTGCACTACCTATTAGACGACAAAGCTACGCGCGCGCGCTTACCACTCGTCACTACCGCTCCGCGCCCTCCGCGCCCAGGCCGAGGTTCTTCGCGCGCGCCGTCGCCGCCACCGGCGTCCGCACGCCGTCGCCGTTCTTTCCCAACCCCCCGCCCGGCGTGAATCCCATCTTCGCCATCATCCGCCCGCCGTAGCCCGTCGTGTGCTTCTCGAACGCCCCGAACGCCGCCGGGTCCGGGTCCTCCGACGCGTCGCCCCTTTGGAGTTGAAAGGCAACAGTTGGAGTTGAAAGGCGCCAAGGGCGGGTATTGAAAGCGAAGGGTGGGCGGAGAGATGCGCCGAGCAAAGTCCTTAAGGAACGGCGTTCACCACGCGATCACGGTCGTATGGGAACCAGTGTATAGAACGCACCTCATCGACGCCATCCCGCCTTTGAGACGCGTGGCCGCCGCCGGGGATCGAACCGCCGACGTCGTGGCATCGACCCCCTCGACGTCGTCGTCGTCGTCGAGGACGCCGGCGCGGGTGAAGTCGATCTCCGCCGGCGGCGTCGTCCTCGTCGTCGTCGTCGTCCGACCCCGCCGCGCCGACGCCGGCGCGTTGTATTTGCCCTCGCCGCGCTTCCCAGTCGTCCCCGGCGGCGGCGCCCGCGCGCGGCCGTCGTGATGCCTCCCGCCGCGCCCGCCGCGTCCGCGTCCGAGCGCTTTGTCCACCTTCGCGAGCCGCGCGGGGTCGGAGAGGAACGCGTCGCGCGTCGGCGGCGGCGCCGCCAACGCCGCCGCCCTCGCCGACGCGTCCGGAGGGATCGCCGGGCCCGCGCGCGGCGCCGGCTCTTCCGCTTCCTCATCGTCGTCCGCGGCGTCTTCGATCTCGCCGCCGCCGCCGCCGCCGCCGCCGCCGCCGCCGCGCGCGCGCTCCCCGTCCTCCTCTCCGTCCTCCTCCCCGCCGTTCACGTTGCGATTGCGCACGACCACGGACGCGCGCTTCTTCCTCCCGCTCGCCGCGGTGGTGGCGATCTCCGTCGACAACCCCGGGTAACACCGCGCCAACGCGTCGATCGCTCTCGCCTCCCTCGCGCCGCACGTCCCGCCGTTAACGGGCGGCCGCCACTCCCTCGCGCCGCTCGCGAGCATCCTCTCGAGCGCGACGCGGACGTCCTCGGGGGTGAACCCGTTCTTCTTCGCGGACCGCGCGGCGCGCGTCTCCGCGACGTGGCGCTTCTTGAGCGATCGTTTCTCCCCCGGAAGGAGGATGGTCTTCTTCTTCGCCGCGGCGGCGGACGCGCGGGGGACGGCGGTCTGGCCGACGCCGCCGGTGCTCCACGCCCACGCGTTGTCGACGGACGTCGGGGCGTCGTCGTCGTCGTCGTCGTCGGTGGCGTCGTCGTCGTCGTCGTCGTCGGTCTCGGCCGACGACGACGACGACGACGACGACGACGCGTCCGCGTTCGACGCGCGCCTCGGCCCTCGCGCGTCGACCTCGACCTTCTCCTCGTCCTCCTCCTCCTCCTCGCTCTCTTCCTCCTCGCTCGCCGCGCGGTTGAGATCGTTCAAGTAGTCGTCCACCGCCGCCATGACGCCGCCGCCGGCCGCCGGCGGATCTGATGGCTGCGCGCCGGCCCGGCGCCCCAACTTACTGCGTTCGAGCCAGCACTGCACTGTTGTTTTGTTGAGTCGACTTTCGACGACGACGCGCCCGCGCAGTCCACCCCGCGCGGACGTCATGTCGCGCGCGTGGGCGACGCCATCGAGCGCGAGGGCGCTTCCGTGCGATCGTCGCGCGCGCGCCTGCCCCGTCGCGCGCGCGCGCCGCCCTCGCGTCGCGGCCGCGTCGTCGTCGTCGTCGTCGTCGTCGTCGTCGTCGTCGTCGCCCGCGGATGTTCTTCGGAACGCCCGCGGCGACAAGTCGTCGCACGTCGCGCGCGCGAAGCGAGGGAAGAAAGGGGGAGGCGGCGGAGGCGGCGGCGGCGGCGGCGGCGGCGGCGGTACCGCGGTCACGGTGCGCGGCGCAGATTTCCGATGCCCCCCGTCTTCCTCCTCCTCCCCGTCGCGGCGGCGGCCGCGCCGTCGACCCGACCGCCGTTGCCCTGAACCCTCGTCGTCGAACCCCCGCGCGATTCAACAATATTCCCATCACCCTCGCGCGCCATCGCAGTCGAAGACGCTGTTCGTGACGGTCGAGCCGGACGCCTCGGACGACTGGCGCCTCGATGAGATCGCGGACGTCATACGCGGCGGCGGCGTGGGGATCATACCCACGGACACGAAGTACGCGTTCGTCGCGGACTTGGAATCGCGCGACGCCGTGCAGGTGGGTCGGGCTCGGGTCCTTTTCGTTCCTTTCGACCGCGTCTTTTCACCTCTTTTCACCCCGCTCTCCGCCTTCGCTCGTCGCTCGACGTCGCGGTTCTGACGGTTTCAAACTCTGCTAAAAAACCGCGTGCGTCGCGTCGCAGACGCTCTACCGGCTAAAAGACGCGGGCGTCGGCAAGCCCATGAGCGTGCTCGTGCGCGGGTTCTCCGACATCGACGCGTATACGCAAGGGTTCCCGGACAACGTCGTCGCCGGGCGAACGCAGCCGTTCAAGCTCGCGAGGCAGTGCCTCCCGGGGCCGTACACGTTCATACTCCAGGCGGGGAAAGCGATGCCGAAGATATGTCTCCAGGACCCCTCCACGAAGTCGAAGTCGTGCAAGGTGCGCGTCGCGATGCGCGTGGCCTTTGCGTATGCCACATGTATCCGCGTGGGAACACGCCAACCACTCGTTATTCCACGTCACCAAATCTATCTCGCACTGAACTGACCAATCGCGCGTCGCCTCGCGTCCAGGCGCGAAAAACCGTCGGCGTGCGGTTCAGCGCGGACCCGGTCTGCCGAGCCCTTCTCTCGCGCCTCGACCGACCGCTCCTCGCGAGCACCGTCCCGTGCGAGGTCGACGGCGACGGGATCGAGTACGCGCAAGACCCCGCGGTGATGTGCGACGACTACGAGAGCGAAGGCCTTCTCGCCTTTGTCATCGACTGCGGCGTCAGAGAAAACCCGCCGAGCACGGTGATCGATCTCAGCGGCGGCGCGGCGAAGCTTCTGAGGAGGGGCGCGGGGGACGCGAGCGCGTGGGTGGAGGACGACGAGGAGGAGACCCTCGCGGACGAGGAGGACGCGTGGGGATTTAGTTAGAAGAAGAAGACGACATCCGGAGGGCGACGCGGACGCTCAGTAAGTTTACTTTATCTCATCACAAAATCTGCGCGCGTTCATACTGTCACGCGTGAAATCTGCAGAAAGATCTGGCGCTGACGTGGAGCTGAGAAGGATGCACTTTTCGGAACGTCGCGGCGCGGCGTCAGTACCCTACCGCGCGCTCGTCCGACGATCGCACGCGCGCTCACACGACCAATCAGGTCGCGCGTACACACTGCATTCGCTCGCGCGCTCGCTCGCGCGCGTCGAAGGCGACGGTTTCCGAGACTTCCGGAACACGTCCACGGCATTCATTATTCATTCGAGAGCGCATCTCGCGTAAGCAACTTAACAAACACCGGGAATATCTCCCGAGACGACGACGACGATGTTTCGAGCGCTGATGCGACTCCGCGCGACGGGTGCGCGCGCCGCTCTCCTTTCCATTCACTCTCTCTTCCTCTCCGCGCGCGTGCGACTCGCGCGCAACGCGTCCGCGCGCGCCCGACGACGGACGTCGCGCGCGCGCGGCGACGCGTCCACCGATTCTTTCTTTTTCTCTTCTTCCCGTCATCTCGCGCGAGCGGAAGAGAAAGAAAACGCCCGTCCGCTCTCCCCAGTCGCACTCATCACCACCGTCCGCGCGTCGCAGGCGCCCTCGCGCGGTCGTCCCGAGACGCGCGCCGTTTCGTGTCCTCGAAGACGCCGAGCCACGCGCTCCCGGCCGCGAGCGTCGGATTAGACGCGGTCATCGCGCGCAAGAACGTCGTCGCGACGGAGTTCAGCGAGCTTCGAAGAGAGACGGAAGATCTCGCGATCGGCCTCGAGGTTCGATCGAGAGCGCTCGCAGTACAACTACTAAAATCATCCTTTCGAAACCGCGCCTCGCTTTCAAACGCGCCACAACTGACCGACCAACTTACCGTACTCGCGATCGATCGCAGAAGCTCACCGCGGGGGACCTGCTCCTCCAGAAGACGCTCGACCAGCGCGGGCACTGGCTCTGGGTGGACGTGAACTCCTCCGCGCTCGAGGCGGTGCAGCGCATGACGAGGGCGAACGTCGGCGCGCTGCTCGTGATGCGAGAGCGCGTCCTCGACGTCGACGACGACGGCGTCGTCACGCGCGAAGAGGCGTCCAGGCGCGTGTTTTTTGTTTTGGTTTTTGGTTTTTGTTTTTTTGTTTTTTTCCGCCGCCGCCGCCGCCGCGAACGCGAACGCTGACCGCCGCCGCCGCGGTCCCGCCCAAATCCCTTCCCTTCTCTTCCTCGCCACGCCACGCGCAGCGGCAAATGGGACGACGCCGTCGCGGGCGTCGTCACCGAGCGCGACTACCTCCATAAGATCGTCGCCAAACACGGAGACGCGTCGACGACGAAAGTCGGCGACGTCATGACCGCCAAGGTGCGTTATGTACACTGGTCCCCATACGACCGCGTCGGCGTGGTGAACGCCGATCCTTAAGGACTTTTGCCCGTCGTCTCTCTCCGCCCATCCCTCGCTTTTAATCCCCGCCATCGATGCCTTTCAACTCCAGCTGACGCCTTTGAACTCCACCCCCACCGCGACGTCATGACCGCCAAGGACGAGATCAACGTCGCATCCGTGGACACGCCGGTGCTCGAGGCGATGCGCGCGATGATCGAGGGCAGGTGGGCGACGACACGACTGGTCCACGTCTACCCAAACGATCTTTACTTTATTTCATCCCATCGCGTCCATCCCGCTCGGTTTCAGTTCTCCACCGCCGACGTCTGACCCGACCCGACGACTTGACTGACTTCGCCGACGGCGCCGCGCGCGCAGGCACCGACACCTCCCCGTGATGAACAAGGATCGCACGATGGCCGGGATGTTGTGCATGGGCGACGTCACGCGGATGGTCTTGGACGAGCACAGGAAAGAAGTCGTCCGTCTCAGGGATTACATGACGGGGGGGTACTGAGACGGCGCGCGGCCTCCGCGTCGAGCGCGCGCGTGTAATTTTTTTTACTCGCGTAACCTTAGTATTTCGTCTCGAGCGGAGAAGCGGGAAGGAAGGGAGGCCTAATAAAGCTAAAGAAGGGGTGATTATGTAAAGGAGGGAGGGAAGGGACGCGTCTGTTGTACAATAATGAACCGCGAACGATGCGCGACGCCACTCGAACGATTCTAGGCGCTCGCGCGTCTTTTCGTCGCGACCGACCCCCTCGCGGTAAAACGTTCGTTGGCGCGCGAGCGGTTTTGTAGACTTCAAGATGTGCCACGACGTCGCACAACTCGGGGCGCGGGGTGACGCCGGCGGCGCGCGATCCTCCTCCGCGCCTCGCCTCGCCTCGCCGCTCCGCGCGCATCGCGTCGCGTCGTCGCGACGCCGCTCCGACGGTCGATCCCTCGCGGCGGCGAGGGACGGCGGGGCGCGGGCGCCGGTTCGGCGCGATCGACGATCGATCGGTCGCGGCGGAGCCGAGGGAAGTGCCGTGCCGACGATCCATCTCGGGGCGATGTCGACCGTGCGCGCGAAGCGGAAGCACGTCCTCGACAGCGACAGCGACGACGACGACGACGACTCTGACGCGCCCGTCGTCGTCGCCGCGACCGCGCCGCCCGCGGTCGCGGTCGCGGTCGCGGTCGCGGTCGCGGACGACGGCGACGACGGCGACGACGTCGACGACGACGACGACGCGAGAGCGGCGACCGTTCGATCCGCCGCGGCCGCGTCGGCCGCGGACGCGAGCGGACGGCCGAGGAACCGCCTGAAGTCGAGGGCGGCGTCGGAGCAGGAGATCATCGCCCTGGACGTCGACGGCGAGAGCGGCGGCGGCGGCGGCGGCGGCGGCGGCGGCGGGATCGACGACCGGGGAGTCGTCGTGATCGACGACGACGGAAACGACGACGACGACGACGACGTGGTGGAGCTCCTCGAGGAAGAAGATCACGCGCTCGTGCATTGCGCGAAAATCTCGCGGCGGCTTCGACGCGCGCTGGGGCAGGACGACGGCGACGAGTACGCCCCGGGCGCGAGCGACGGGCCGCTCTCGCCGCTCGGGAAAGCGAACGCGAAATCATCATCGAACGGAGTCGGAGGGAAGAAGAGGAGAGCGCTCGTCGCCGTCGACGACGTCGTCGCCGTCGCCGGGGACGGGTCGTTCAGCGCGAACCTGAAACCGTACCAGATGGTCGGCGTGAACTTTCTGTTGCTGCTCGACGAGGAGGACGTCCCCGGGGCGATCCTGGCGGACGAGATGGGGCTGGGGAAGACCGCGCAGGTGCGTTCTATACACTGGTCCCCATACGACCGCGTTAGCGTGGTGAACGCCGATCCTTAAGGACTTTTGCCCGTCGTCTCTCTCCGCCCACCCCTCGCTTTCAATCCCCGCCATCGATGCCTTTCAACTCCAGCTGACGCCTTTGAACTCCACCCCGACGTCGCTTTGAAGACGATCGCGTACTTGGCGCTGTCGCGGTCGAGGAAGAGACGCGGCGTCGGCGGGTGAGAATTGAGACCCTCCAGACCGCTTCCCGTACGAAACCCCTCGCGCGATCCTCGCCTCACGTTTTGACACGTGGAGATGCCGTCCACCAATCGCATACCCGCATCACTGACACGCGCGTTCCCTCGACCGCTCGCGTCGCGGCAGGTGGGGCGAGAAGACGCTGCCGAAACGCACGCTCGCGCAGATCGCGTCCGGGAGCGGCGGCGGCGGCGGCGCCTCCGGACCCGGCGACGCGAGAGAAGAGCCCGCGCTCGTCGTCGCGCCCGCGTCGCTGCTCGAGAACTGGAAGCGCGAGCTCTCGCGCTGGGCGCCGGCGTTGAAGGTTGGTTTCTACCACGGCGCCGCCGGGCAAAACGCGGTTCGCGCCGCCGCGGAGGCGCACGCGTTTCAACGCGAAAACGACACGGGCGAGCGCGTCAGCGGCGGCGGCGCGTTCGACGTCATCATCGCGTGCTACTCCCTCTTCGAGCGCGACTCCGCGGACGTCAAGCTTCACCGGAAGTGGCTGCGATCGCTGCGGTTTTCGCACCTCGTCTTGGACGAAGCGCATCTCGTGAAGAATCGAAACACGCAACGCGCTAAACGGTTGGATCTCGTCGCCGCGCGCGCGCGACGACGCGTCCTTCTCACGGGGACGCCGCTGCAGAACAACCTGAGGGAGCTCGAGTCGCTGATACACCTCGTCCTCCCCGGGCTACTCGCGGAGGGCGCGCTCGAGGGCGGGATCGGGCAAGAGGGCGCGGACGAGACCGAGGCGGAGGCGGCGGCGAGAGCGTCGAGGGTGAAATTTATTCTCGCGCCGTTCATCCTTCGTCGCTTAAAAGAAGAAGTCGCGAGGGAGCTGATCCCGAAGACGCACGTGAAGACGATCGCGGAGATGACTTCGGGGCAGAGACGTAGCTACGAGAGCGCCGTGGACGCCGCGCGGGCGGAGCGACGACGGCAACGCGAGGGAAGAGGGGACGGGGATTCGGCGGGGACGAATTCTTCGACCAACGCGCCGCCGTCGGAAAAAATCAAAGCGTTGTTCGTGCACCTTCGGAAGATCGCGAACCACCCGTTGCTCGTCCGGGAGAAGTACACGGAAGAGGACGTCGAAGAGATGTCCGCGGTGTGTCATCGCAAGGGCGCGTTCGGGCACGAGGCGACGTTGCCCATGGTGCGGCAGCACGTGAGGGGTCTGAGCGATTTCGCGTTGCACCAGCTGTGCGAGGATCCGCAGCTCGGGGGCGCGCTCGCGCACAAGGCGCTCCCCGCGGAGGCGGCGTTCGACGCGTCAAAAACGCGCAAGCTCGAGACGTTACTCGCGGATTTAAAATCGAAAGGCAGCCGCCCGCTGATATTCTCGCAGTGGAAGATCGTCTTGGACATCCTAGAGTGGGCGCTCAGAGAACGCGGGCACAAATTCGTGCGTCTGGACGGCTCAACCGCGGTGGAGGAGCGCCAACGCATCTGCGACGCGTTCAACAGAGACGGCAGCGACATCTTCGCCTTCTTGCTGTCCACGCGCGCGGGCGGTCAAGGCTTGAACCTCACGGGCGCGGACGTCGTCGTCATCCACGACTGCGACTTCAACCCGCAGATCGACCGCCAGGCGGAGGACCGGTCGCATCGGTTGGGGCAGACCAAGCCGGTGACGGTGTATCGGTTGGTCACGAGCGGCACCGTGGACGAGCGGATCGTGGAGATCGCGGAAGGGAAGCTCGCGTTGGACGCGGCGATATTGAGCGACCCGAAGGCGATGGCCGCGGAGGAGAACAAGGCGATGCACAGCATATTGGAGGACTTGTTAGGGTGACGACGAGGAAGTTTATTGGGGAGCGCGCGAACGCGAACGCCCCCCTCTGATGCGTTACGTTTCAACGAACAGAACGCCAAACATTCATTCGCATTCGTTCACTCACTTTCACTCTTCATCAATCACGAGATGACGTCGTCGTCGCGGCTCGTGTCCACGGACGCGCGGTTAAACCCCGCCGCTTCCCCCGCGCCGGCGTTTTCGTTGAGCGCCTCTGCCATGGGTGAAGCGATCGGTCAGTCGAACGTCTTACCGGTCAAACGTTGAAAGGGAAGCGCGGGTGAAGAGTGACGACGGGAAAAGTCCTTAAGGAACGGCGTGCACCACGCGAACGGGGTCGTATGGGGACCAGTGTACAGAACGCACCTGCCATCTCCCTGTTGCTCGGCTGCGACGCCCTCTCCATCACCAACGTCACGCCCTCGGCGTCGAACAGCCGCCACGGCCCCGGCCACGCCCTCCGCAGCGTCCCCTCCACCCCCGCGGCGCTTCGTATCCTCCGCGCGCAGTACACGACGTCCCAGTCCCCGTCTCGCGTCAGGACCTCTTTCGCCTCTCTCTTGAGGCCGAGCTCCCACGGCTGCCCGACGCGGTCGCCCGCGGAGGCGCCGTCGCCGCTCCAGAACGCGTTGACCGCGCACAGGACGTGTGAGTCGTCGCGGACGCGGTTCCCGTATTCGCCTCGGCACAGGTCCAAGAAGTATCGCATCGTCGTGTCGGACGGGTGCGTCACGATCGTGAGGTCTTCGCCGAGCGTCCACTGATGAGGCGAGAGCGAAAGCGATCGATCGATCGATCGATCGATCGGAGAGGACGCGTCGGTCAGCGGGACGTCTCGCCGGTCGAACCGAACGATGGCGTTGTTGAAAGGGAAGAGGGGATGAAGAGAAGACGACCGACGACCGACGGGAAAAGTCCTTAAGGATCGGCGTTCACCACGCCGACGCGGTCGTATGGGAACCAGTCTCGAGAGAGCGCGCGCGTCTCATCATCATCTCACCACGCCCATGCCGTCGGCGTCTCGGTCGAGCAGCCCCAGGTACTTCGCGTCCGCGTACCCGTCGAGCAGCCCTCCCTCGCCGTCGATGAGCGCCTTCGTGACGCGCAATCGCTGCTGCATCCCGCCGCTCCAGTCCGCGGCCTGGCCGTGGAGGCCCAGATACACCATCGCGTCCGTGTCCATATCCGCGGGAGGGAGCGGGAGCTCGACGCGCACGCGGCGCGGGACGGAGGCGTCGGCGCGCGCCGCGCCCTCGCGGAGGAGGCGGAGGACCTGGCGCGCTTCCGCGGCCGCGCCCGTGCACGTCGACGGCGGGGCTTTCCACGGCGAGTTCGTCGTCGTCGCGGAGTCGTCCGTGAGCGCGCGCGTCGCGACCGTCGCTGTCGTCGTCTCGCGTCGTGGTCGTCCGCGGAGATCGCTTCCCGCGCGCGTCGGCGCGGACCTCGACGCGCGCGACGACGCGCCCGCGCTGGAGTCGACGCGACGACGCGCGGCGCGCGCGGAGGAGGGGGGCGTCGCCGCGGACGCCGTCGTCGCGGTGAGCATGACGCGGGCGGGGGGCGCGCGGCGGGGCGGGTGTGATGTGATGAGGTGGCACGCTGGCACCTCTCTCAGCTGTCTCTCGCAGCTCGTCGATCTCAGCGCGAGCGCGCCAAAACTCGAAGCGCCGCGCGGGTCTCCCCGCACGCGATGCGACGTCTGAGGGACGCCCTCGCGCCGATCGCGCGCTCGGGCGGCGGCGCCTCCTCCTCCTCCGCGACGCGCGCGAGGGCGTACTCGTCGATCATCGCCGCGTCCAGGCCGTGGCGCGTCGCGGCGGACGCGGGCATCGCGACGGGCGGAGGAGAGACGATCGGACTCGGCATCCCGGGAGGCTTCGGATCAGACGCGCGCCGAGGGTTCGTCGCGGCGTCCGCGCGCCGCGGGCTCCCCGCGTGGGCGAGGACGAACGACGAGGAGAAGCGCGACGACGCGGACGCGCGCGACGTCGACATCGCGAAAAGGCAGGCATGGGGAGGACACTATCGTCGCCACTTCCACGCCACATCGCGCGCGGGCATGGCGGTCAAAATCCCGCGCGGGCTCGGCTCGGCGAGCAAACAAAAGGGAGGCTCAGAGAAAGCCAAAGCCACGGACGCCGACGGCTTCGACGCCGCCAGCGGCATCTCGCGAGACGCGAAATCGAAACGCACGGACGCGGCGAACGACGTCCGCGCGCTGCACGCGGTCAACGTCGCCATCAAGGCGAACACCGCGATATTCGCGTGTAAGGTGCGCGTTCGTTCATTCGTCATTCGTTCCTAATAACCCGGCTGGTCTCCGCGCGGCGTCCGCGCTGTGTCGGCGTCGCCGCGGTAGACGCCGTTCCTTCGTCCTCAGCCAGCGGACTTCGCCTTCTCGACCGCCATCGACTCCTCCATCTGACGCGCCCCCGCGCCCCACCCCGACGTCGTTCGTCGCTCTTCGCGATACGGCAATCGCCCACCCTCAGCTGGGCGCGTACGCCGTCACGGGGTCATCCGCGATGCTCGCCGAGGCGGTGCACTCCGTCGCGGACGTCGTGAACCAGGTGTGACACTGGTCCCCATACGACCGCGTTGGCGTGGTGAACGCCGATCCTTAAGGACTTTCTCTCCCGGCGTCTCTCTCCTCTCACACCTCGCTTTCAATCCCCGCCCTCGGCGCCTTTCAACTTCGCTTCTGACGCCTTTGAACTCCACCCCGACGTGAACCATCGTCGTGAACCAGGGACTGCTTCACGTCGGGATAAACAGCAGCACGAGGGCGCCGGACGCGAAGTATAACTACGGGTACAGAAGAGAGCGGTTCGTGTGGTCGCTCATAAGCGCGGTGGGCGTGTTCTTCATGGGCAGCGGCGTCAGCGTCGCGCACGGGGTGCACAGCGCGTGGAACCCGATGGAATTGGAGCACATCTGGATCGGCCTCGGCGTTTTGGGCGCGTCGGCGGCGATAGACTCGTACTCTCTCCTCGTCGCCTACCGCGCGCTCGTGGACAACGCCGCGGCGAAAGAGATGACGCTCAGGGAGTTCGTGGAGAGCGGGCACGACCCGACGTCCGTCGCCGTCGTCGCGGAGGACTTGGCCGCGGTGAGCGGGTGCGCCATCGCCGCGGGAGCGCTCTTCGCGACGCAGGTCACCGGGAACGCCATCTTCGACGCGGCGGGCTCAGGCGCGTTCGTATTTACACTGGTCCCCATACGACCGCGTCGGCGTGGTGCACGCCGATCCTTAAGGACTTTCTCTCCCGGCGCATCTCTCCGCCCATCACCCACCCCTCGCTTTCAGTCGCCGCCCGCGACGCCTTTCAACTCCGCTTCTGACGCCTTTCAACTCCACCCCGACGATAACGCTTCGTATGGACAATCACCCTCAGTCGCCGTCGGCGGGCTCCTCGGCCTCACCGCGACGTACCTCATAAACGCGAACCGCATGCTGCTGTTGGGGCGGAGCCTGGGGAGCGAGAAGATGGACCGGATCCAGCGCGAGATCCGCGCGGACCCGGTCGTGGAGGAGGTGTACCGCGCCAAGTCGGAGGAACTCGGACCCGGGACGTTTCGATTCGTCGCCGAGATTGAATTCTCCGGGACCAAGGCGCGTTCTGTTACCACACTGGTCCCCATACGACCCCGTTCGCGTGGTGAACGCCGTTCCTTGAGGACTTTACTTCCCGGCATTTTTCTCCGCCCACCCCTCGCTTTCAATCCCCGCCCTCGACGCCTTTCAACTCCGCTTCTGACGCCTTTGAACTCCACCCCGATATCATCGCTTCGCGCGGAACGGCCCCACTAAGGTGGTCGAGAGGTATCTCGACCAGGGCGACGGCGCGAAGCGCGAGCAGCTGCACGGGATGTTCAGGGCGGCGGCGGCGCGAGAGGAGCCCGTGGATTTGGACGCGGCGTTGAAGATGTACGGGGAGGAGGTCGTCACGGCGGTCGGGGACGAGGTGGATCGCATAGAGAAAGCCATCGTCCGCGTGGAGCCGAGCATCCATTACGTCGACTTGGAGACGAACTGACGATTGATCGATGGACGAAGCGATCGATCGACCGATCGATCTCCCCGCGCCGCCGCGCGCGCGTCGACGAGGGGGCGCAGAGGCGAACGTAGCGGCGATTGTTGTTGGTCGTGTGATGCAGTACGTTAGCTCGCGTTGGTCGTCGCGACGTGACGCCGTCCGCGGTAGCGCCCGCCGCCCGACGGCCCGGTCAAAGTTTTTTCCTTCATCGTCGGTTCCTCTCGTCGCGTCGGGCCGAGATTCGTCCAGTCATCTCCGCGCGCGGCGCGCGCGCGCGACGGTCTCATGGGGTGCGGCGCGTCCTCCGCGAGCTCGAGCTCGGTCCCCTCCGCGTCGTCCGCGCCCGCGGACACGCGATGGATCGAGAACATGTTCGGGAAGACGCTCTTGACGAAGAGCGGCGAGCGCGTCGCGACGACGAAGGCGCGCGACGCGACGCGACGTTTCGCGCGGCCTCCGTCCCCCCCCGCGCGAATCCATCATCATCATCTTACTTCTGTTCTTCCTCCTCCTTCGCGCGCCGCCGCTGACGTCATCATCCCTCCCTCCCTCCCTCCCTCCCTCCATCCTCCTCGCGATGTCGTCCGTCCTCAGGTCCTCGGCGGCAAGATCGTCGCGGTGTACTTCGGCGCGAGCTGGTGCGGCCCGTGCCGCGCGTTCCTCCCCACCCTGACGAAGATCTCCGACGCGCTGCGATCGCGCGGCGCGCTCTTCGAGGTCGTGTACGCTTCCTCGGACAACGACGACGCGGAATTCGCCGCGCACTTCACGAAGGGCGACAAGATGCCGACGTGGTGGTTCGCGCACCCGTCCATCGGCGGCGCGTTCGCGGAATCACGCGCGTGGACGGAGGCGATGGGCGATTTCGGTGGCGCGGAGGTCGTCAAAGGCGTCCCGCACGTGTCGCTGTTCGACGCGTCCGGGAAACCGATGAGCGGGCCGTACAACGCGTGCGGGCTGCTTCAACACCGCGGCGTCGACGGGTTCCCGTGGGCGGAGCCGGGGTACGTGCGCGCGGCTGCGGAGAACGCGAGCGAGCTGATGGCGTTGGAGAAGTGGAAGCCGGCGCTGGCGGCGTACGAAGACGTCGCGGAGCTGCTGAAGAAGGCGCGTTTTATCTCTCACTGGTCCCCGTACGACCGCGTTCGCGCGGTGCACGCCGTTCCTTAAGGACTTCGGCTTCGCGTCTCTCTTCGCCCATCCCACGCTTTCAACGTTCGACCTCGACGCCTTTCAACTCCGCTTCTGACGCGCCCCCGACCGCCGCCCCGACGCACGTCGCTTCGTACGGAACACGACCCTCGTCGTCAGAATCCAAACCCGGCGGACCCGTCGAGCCTGGAGGACGTCGCGATCGCGCTGAACGACCTCGCGTGGATCCACAACAAGCTCGGGAGCGCGAAGAACGCGCTGAAGGTGTACGAGGAAGCGCTCGCGGCGATCGTGAAGGATGCGAAACACCTGGGGACGGAGAGCGAAGCGTACGCGGTGACTTTGTTCAACGTCGCGGACATGAAGAGCGAGATGAAACGGTTCGCGGACGCGGAGAAGGATCTGCGGGTGGTGTCGCGACTGCGCGCGAAGATCTTGGGGAAGGAGGATTACGAGTACGGGAACACGCTGTACGCGCTCGCGTTCGTGCTCGAAAATTTGGGGAGGCACGAGGAGAGCGCGGGGTTTTACGACGACGCCGCGGACGTCATGGAGAAGGCGACGGGGGACGCGATGGACGCTCGGAAAAAAGCTGACGCGATGCGCGCGAAGTGTCGATGAACGGTGGGCGCGATAGCCCTGCGATAGCCCTATGTGATGTGAAGTTGAAACCGTCGTTGAAACCGAGAGGTACCGAGCGTCGTCGTCGTCGTCGTCGTCGTCGTCGTCGTCGTCGTCGTCGTCGTCGTCGCGTTCACACCGCCCGACGCCGCGGCCGCGCCGCATGTGGCTGCCGTCGCCGACGACGATATCGCGCGCGCTGCAGCAAGGCCTCGCGCCGCTCGTCTTCTGGCGCGTCTTCGCGAAGCGCGAGCGCGAGGCGTTCGAGGACCTCACCCCGGGCGCGACCGCGGAGCCCGACGAGGGCGCGCGCGACGACGACGACGACGGCGACGGCGAGGGCGACGACGGCGAGACACGTCGCGGAGCTCGAGACCCCGCTCTCGCGAACGACGGGACCGCACGGCGGCGTGATGCTCCCGTCGCCGTGGTGGAAGCGGCGCGCGCCGACCGGGGACCGGCGGCTCGCGCTGCTCGCGACCGCGTTAGGGTTCGCGGGAGGTCTCGCGCTCGCGCGGTGGGCGGCCGTCGGAAGCGACGACGGGGACGCCAAAAAAACCAAAAGAAACGCCGGCGACGACGGAGCGGGAGCGAAGGAGTGAGACGAACGAATGAAAGAGCGTCCGCCCGATCGTTGTATCACGACCTACTGTACGCTACGTCACTTCGTCGTCGCGCGGTCGACGTTCGCATCGACCGCGCGCGCGTCGCTCGCTCCTCGAGGGTCCTATGAGCATTTAGTCTCAGAAGACCCCCCCCGCCAGCGCCGCCCGCCCGCTCGCTCGTCTCGTCTCCGTCGTCGGCTCGTGACCTCCTCTCCCCCCCACCCACCCGCGTCTCCCTCTTCTTCCCCTCTTGTTATAGTATAGTATATACGTAAACGCATGAATCACGAGCGTTTACTTCGCCCCACCCCCCGGCGGCACGCCCGCCCCCGCGGCGGCGTACCACTGCTTCCACATGTCCATGTACTGCGCCATCGGTTCCGTGAATTGCGACGGGACGTAATCCACCGCCGGCGCCGCCGGCGTCGCCGCCGCCGACGGTTGACCGAACATCCCACCGCCGAGCGCCCCCAACGCGGCGGCCGCGGCGTCCTCGGTCTTCACCGCCTCGCTCTTGACCGCGGCGTTTGAGGCGGCGCCGGGGATCGGCACCGGCGCGCTGGCCGTCGTCGGCGCGCCCGCGCCCGCGCCCGCGCCGACGCCGACGCCGGCGCCCGCCGCGGTCATCATCGCCCGCTGGAGCTGCGACAGCTGCGTCATCTGCTGCATCTGCTGCATCTGCGCCATCGCCATCATCATCTCCATGCTCCCGGGGGCCATCCCCGGGAACGCCGCGGGCGCCGCGTCCATTTGCGGCGGCGGCGTCGGCGCCGGGGAGTATATCCCCGCCGCCGCCATCGCGCGCGCCATCGCCGCGAAATCCACGGAAGTCGCCGCGTTCGCCGCCGCCGGCGCCGCCGCCGCGTTCGCGCCCGCCATCCCGCCCAACCCGCTCAACCACGGCGCGACGGCGTTCATCGCCGGAGCAACCGTCGGGATCGGCCGCGTCGGCGACGGGTCCCCCGCTTCCCCGCTCGCGAGCGCGCTGAGGAGGTCCAGATTCGGCGTCGCCGCCCTCGGCGTCGGCGCGTGCGGCGGCGCCGCGAACCCGCCGCCGCCGCTCGACGACGCCGCGTTACCCAGCGCGCTCCTCGGGCGCTTGATGTCCCCGCCGAGTGCGTCCAGGACCGCGCACTCGCGCGAGGGCGAGGACTTATCGCTCAAACTAGACGGCCCGCCGCTGTCGCGCTTGCTCTTCCCCAACGACGACCCCGGCCGCGCGGGGCCCTGGACGTCGAACGGCGCGGGCGTCGGCGCGCGGCCCATCGAGTTTGGCATGAACCACTGCGGGTTGAACGCGGGCGCGCCACCCGGCAGCCCCGGGATGGGCGCCCCGGGGAGCCCGCCCCCCTTGTTGTGCGCTTGCGCTTCCGCAGCGGCCGCGGCGACGGCGAGGTCCTTCTCGACGCCGAGCCACCGGAACGCGGGCTTCCGCGAGTCCACGAGGTGCGTCTTCTCGATCAGGCGGAGGCTGGAGAGGATGTTGGCGATGTCGTACAGCCGGCGCACTTTCGTCTTGAGCTTGGCCTGGTCCGCGCACGCGCCGAGGAGCGTCCGCGCGGCAGCCTCCAGGGACACGACGCGCGCGCGCGAGACCAAGAACAGCTGCACGAACTTCTGCGAGAGAAGGCCGAGAGACTTCTCGCGTCGGCAGTCGCCGCCGCCTTCTTTTTCTTTCCCGCCCCCCGGCTTGTGGCTCGCCGTCGCGGCGGCGGTCTCGTCGTCCTTTGAGCTCTTCGCGCTGTCCTCGCCGTCGTCCTTGTCGTCCTTCTTCGCGTCGCCGCCGCCGCCGTCGGAGGGGTCGTGCTCGCCCTCGCCGGAGCTCCCGGACTTCGCGTCCTTCTCCTCCGCCCCCGAGGGACCCGCCGCGTCTCGTCCCGGTGCCTCTTTTTCTTTTTCCTCCTTCTCCTCCTCCACGGCATCGCGCGCATCCGACCCGCCTCCTCCCCCGCGCTTCGGCGAGGACGGCCCGGAGGCGTCGCCGCCGTCCAGCGCGAGGTCCTCGCCGAACTCCTTCACGCCCTCGCGATAGAGACGGTCCAGCGCGTTCGGCATGCGCGCGATGCCGTGCCACGTGTACTTGTTCTTCGCCTTGCGGACGACGACCTCGACGGATTCGAGGACGTTGACGATGTCGTAGATGCGTCGACGCTCCACGCCGAGCTTCGTCGCGGCTTCGTCCAAGGAGATGAGCTCCTCCTGACCGGCGCCGTAGAGGTGGAGGAAATTCTCGCACAATAACCCCAAGCTGCGACGCGCCGCGAGGGGGGAGACGCGAGGGAGCGACGCGTCAGCGGTCGGGGAGAGACGCGGGATCCGTCGCTCGGACTTCGGAGGAGAGAGGATAGAAAAGAGCCGAAAAGACGCGCGATTGAGCGAGCATATCTCGTTTGGATTTTTCAAGCGGACGTGGGCGACGACGTGGTGCGCGCGGGTCGCGCGCGGGTCGCGCGGCGCGACGCGGCCGCGCGGCGCGGCGCGAGGGATCGCGCGCGCGAGACGGGAGAGAAACCCCGCGACGCGCACCTCTTGTCCTTCCTGTTGTACGCCGCGGACCCGATCTCGCTCCCGAGCGCGCCCGGCGTGGGTCCGCGCGAGGGCGGCCCGCCGTCGCCGCTCCTCGGATCGCTCCGAAGCGCCGCCGCGGAGCCGCTCCTTTGCAGGTGCTCGGCGACGCCCGCTTGCGCTTGCGCCATCGCCGCCATCGCGGGGTTAGCGAACGGCGTCGGCATCGCGCCGTTCTGCATGAAGTTCTGCATGAAGTGCGCCATCGCGGCCGCGAGCGCGGCGGGATCGTTCGCGGCCCCCGGCGCGGCCCCTGGCGCGACCGCGCTCGCGCCAGAAAAGTTCGGAGGAAATGCCACGCCGCCGGCGGCGTTCGCGAGCGGCGCGCCCGGGATCGGCGCGCCGGCCGCGCTGAACGCCCCGGGAGACGGCGCGGTCGCCGCGTTACCATCCGGTTGTCCCGCCGCGTTCGCGCCGTCCGCGGGGGGAGGCGGCGCCATGACGCGCGATTCAGCGCGCGCGTGGTGTGTTTTGGATCGTGCAAAAAAAGCGCAGAAAACCCTTAACGGCGCCAAAATGCGGCGGGAAAGATTTTGGCGCGCGATGGTTTCGTACCGTACTCTCTGTCGCACAAGCAAACAGTCAGAGCACGACTACTTTTGGGGCGTACGGACATCCCGACGAGATCTTCTCGTCGCGCGTAATATACACTTTATGCGGGAAAGCGCATAAGATATTTATAGTCTCATCGAGCGCGGGCGGCGCGACGTTCTTCACAACAAACGACCCGGGCGGGCCTCCCCCCTCCCTCGCGCGCGCTCTGCCGCCGAGTCGCGCCATGTCGTCCGGCATCCGCGTCGCCGGCGGGATCGCGAAGCACGTCAAGAAGAAGGGCGCGCAGCAGGCGGCGTACCAAGGCATTCAGTTCCTGAAGAGCTACGGGCAGCACATCCTCAAGAACCCGATGATCGTCAACGCCATCGTCGAGAAGGGCGGGGTCAAGTCCACGGACGTCGTCCTCGAGATCGGCCCGGGGACCGGGAACCTCACGATGCGCCTCCTCGAGACGGCGAAGAAAGTCATCGCGATCGAGTTCGACCCGCGCATGGTCGTCGAGCTCGAGCGCCGCGTCTCCGGGACGCCGCACGGGCACAATCTGAAGATAATCAGCGGCGACTTCCTCAAGGTGGACCTGCCGTACTTCGACGTGTGCATCGCCAACTGTCCGTACCAGATCTCGTCGCCGCTCGTGTTCAAGCTCCTGTCGCACCGGCCGATGTTCAGGTCGGCGACGCTGATGTTCCAGAGAGAGTTCGCGATGCGTCTGTGCGTGAACCCGGGGGATCCTCTCTACTGTCGCCTGTCGGTGAACGCTCAACTCTTGGCGCGGACGACGCACATCTTGAAGGTTGGGAAGAATAACTTCCGGCCGCCGCCCAAGGTGGACTCCTCCGTCGTGAGAATCGAGCCGAGGTCGCCCATGATCGACGTGAACTTCCGCGAGTGGGACGGCTTGGTTCGCCTATGCTTCGGGAGAAAAAATAAAACGTTGGGGGGCATCTTCCGCGCGAAGACCGTGCTCCAGCTCATCGAGAACAACTACAAGACGTACAAGGCGTTGCAGGTGAACAACGGGAAGGGCGTCTCCGCGATGGACATGGGCTCCGGCGGCGTCGGGAACGTCTCGAGTAAGATGCTCGGCGCGGCGACGATGGGGGCGAGGAAGAAGGGAAAGTTTAGCCAAAAAGGAAAAAAACAATACGGCCTCGGCGCCGACGAGAAGATGGACATCGACGACGGCGACGAGGACGGGAACGGGATCACGAGCGTGGACGCGGTGACCCCGGAGTTCATACGCGGGTTAGTCGAGAAGGTGTTGAACACGGACGGGTTCGTGGACATGCGCGCGTCGAAGATGTCGCAAGATGATTTTTTGCGGCTCCTCGCGACGTTCAACGAGGCGGGGATTCACTTCGCGTGAGCAATCGATAGACACAGTCTTAGACGGACATCAGATGTTACCATGTTGTATAAAAGAAACCCAGCCCCAAAACGCGCGCGTGCTACGCGACTACAAGTGATCCAACCGCCGCAACAAATACTCCACCTGCACGTCCTTCGTCATCGGCATGATCCACTTGTAGTACAACTCGCCCACTCGCTCCGGCGCGACTTTGTACTCGATGTCGACGCCCTCGCCGAGCGCCGCGACCTGGTCCGGGACGTCGCCGTCGCTGATATCCTGCCCGTACGTCGCCGCCTTGTTCGTGACCCTTCGAACGACCCTATCCTCCACGGCTTTGTACGTCAGCAGCGACATCAGACCCTCCGCGTCTTGCTTTTTGATGAGCTCCGTGAACTCCTCGGGCCTCGCCTGAAACTTGCTCTCGGCGACGAACTTCCCGTAGTGAATCCGCTTCGAGATGGTCTGGAGGCAGTTCACGTCCGCGAGCCCGGCGCTGCCGTAGTTGAAGTCGTCCCCAGCCTGACACAGCGCGGGCAGGATGTCGTTCACGTACATCTCCATGATGCGATCGTTTATGTTTATCCCGTCCGCCGCGGGCGCGAGCGGGTTTTCGTACTGCATGGCGCCGATCACGAGGAGAGGCAGCGACTCGGGGTAAAAGGCGTGCTCGTCCGGGGAGGTGTACCTCCGAATCTTGCCCCCTAACTGCTCGCTCTCTCGCAGCATGAACTCCAGCATCGACGCGCGCGTGCCGTCCGGGTGGAAGCACGGGACGTCTATCTTCCCGGGCTGATACACCGGCGCGTTGAGGAGGTACTGCGCGCGCTCGATGAGCCCGAAGATGATGGAGTCTTCCTGGCGGATGAGGCTCGCGCGGATGTTGTCGAGGGAGAGCCTGTCGGACTCGTCTCTCGAGATGGACGGGTCGCCGGGCCCCGTCGACGCCGCGGAGGCGCCGCGGAGGAGGAGAGACGGCGACCGGCGCGACGGCGGCGACGGCGACGGCGACGCGAGGTGGCTCGACGTCCATCTCGTCCCTCGCGCCGCGCGATCAGCGGCGGCGGCGCGGCGATGAGACGAGCGCGCGGTCGCGGCGGGAGCCGCGCGCGCGGTCGCGGCGCAGAGCGCGGTCGCGGGCATCGTCTCCGATTCGCGGTCGCGACGACGACGACGCGCGGCGTGAAGTGGCGCGAGCGGCCGGCGGAGACGTCGGGCAGACGACGTACAGTATCATGAAATCGCGGGGCGCCGACGCGTCGAAAAGCGCCGTGAGGGTTCCGTCGGGAAAGACCACTCGCACTCGTCAGCCGCAGTCGCCGTCGACCGCTCGGACTCCGCGGAGGTTTATTAATATCGGTTCGACGATCGTTATTACCAAAAAGTCGTCTTCATCTTCGCGACCGACGCGTCCGTCCTCCGGTCGCCTCGGTCGAACCCCCCCGTCGGTTCGGTTCTCCTCCTCCTCAACTCCTTCTCCTCCGTCCCGCGCCCTTCCCCGTCGTCGTCGCTCAAAAGTCATCATTCGGTCGCGTTGACGACCGGCGTCCGGACCGCACGGAGCGCTCACGACCTGACCGCGACGCCGCGCTCGCCGCCTCTACCGCCTCTACCCCCCGACACGCCGCCGCGCCCGCCGCGCCCGCCTCTACCCCCGCGCGCGTCGTCCCCGCGCGCGTCTCCGTCGCCCCGCCCGCCGCGGCCGCCGCCGCCGCCGCCTCGCCCGCCGCCGCCGCCCTCGCGCCGTCCCCTCCCGCCGCCGCCCTCGCGCTCGCCCCCCCGGTGGTCGTTCGTTCGACCCCTGTTGTTGTTGTTGTTGTTGTTGTTGTGCGCGCGCGTCTGCACACGCTCGCGCTTCTCCTCCACGGACAACGCGCCGCCGTCGATCTCGAGCCCCGTCGCGGCCATCGCCTTAGTCGCGCTCTCCGCGTCTTCAAACTCGACAAAGGCGTAACGCTCGCCGCCGTTCTTCTGGACGCGAATCGTCACCCCCGCGGCGGCGCCTTTTACG